ATGAGATAATCAAGCGATTGTTTCCTTAGTTTAAAGGCTGGTTTTCATTAGCGACGGAGGCGTAATCAGAAGCGTAGAACTTTAGGATCTAGTGAAAACAGCGTTCTGATTCCGTTTACGACTCCGTCGCTTACGATCAAGTGAAAACTAGGTCGTAGGAGTCGCAAGCAGAAGTGGAAGAAGTAAGCCAATCACAAAGGGTGGGAACGTGCATTGTGATTGGTTTATCGTTCCTCCTCTACTTCCGACTCCGACAGTCTGGTTTTCACTTGATCGTAAGCGACGGAGTCATAAGCGGAAAAGGAAGAAAATGGCAACTTTCTGATTCTTCCGACTCCGATTCCGTCGCTGTTGCGACTCCACTTTTATGATTCCGACTCCGACTCCGTCAAGTAGAACTTGAATAGGACTGTTGTTGACACCAAGTGACGTTCCGACATTCTCTGCGGTAGTCGTCATCAAAGTCAAAACACTCTCCTGATTGCTTTCTCACAGGAAGACGATTGCCTTAAAGGTTTTCGAAATATCAGTTATTATTACCAACAGTGCTATCCAGGACTACAATCACTCAAATGGCCGTAAACTGTGAAGTTATGGGGGAAATGTTCCTAGAACCAATTACGTGCCCAACATGAAATGTTCAAGTCTGAGGCTAAGCACTGCAGAGAATGAAAATGGTTTTATGTCAGTGGTGTGAGCGTATGTATTTTTGCGGCGTTTTGGCTTTGTATGTTCTGATGTTTGTTGCAGGAGCCAATAAAGTTGAAGGTACTATGAGTTGAATGCTTAGGAACCAGATGCAGGATGTGCGATGCACCGTTCGCGTTAGCCGAATTAGGTCAGAAATGTCTTGAAGCAGCATCCACACTAAAACCCTTAAACAGCGGCATCACTGTACACAGCCTTTGAATCGTGAAGATATTTACAGTCAAAACTGGTCAAGCGTACCCCCCAAGATTCTATTAATAAATTGATTATTTGAAAAATGAATCCGTTAGTCGTTCCCGTAACTGGTGTCAAATTCAAATCGGAATTACTGCAAAAATTGTGAAGAATCAAGATGGCGGTCTCAAAGTGCCCTTGTTCGACCTTTAGCAATGTCATGTTTAAGTAGATGCCAAGATCTCATTTTTTCCTAAGCATCAACTTATAGTACCTTCAACCTTATTGGCTGTTTCAACAAACATCCGAACGTACAAAGATACAAAGCAACAAAGATACATACGCTCACACCACTGACATATGAGCTATTTTTTCAAAATAGCTCAATAAAATTGGAAGAATCTAGTTGACACAATAATTAGATGTTGTTTTATTGAGTGGAGTAACAAGATATTGGTAGAAATATATTTCGGCAGTTTGATAAATTTCTTGGAAGTTAATAAATGTTAGGCTATCAACCTTGACGTTGCTTGAAGCACAATTTAATTGCAGATGTTGTAAGGAAGCCGAGGTGATTTCTTAAAATCGTTTGAGAAAATTTTCTAGTAAACAATTTGCTTTTTGTTTGCGTACGAATTGTAATAGGGCCATGTCCATGAGCTATTTTTATAATTCTGTTTAGTGGATTACAGTGTGATAACTCGAATTCCCTCACGTACGAACCACGAAAGGGGCAAAGTCTGACACTTTCACGTGCAAACTGTGTGATTTTACATCTCAATTTGGCTTTTCAGATTAAGGTTTTCAATATGTTTGTCCGTAATTTTTCCCGGGACTTTCTTAGAGACAGATTGTTTAAAAATTCAAGGGGTTCTAGGTCCTCTAGGGCATGTAACGTCCTCACTTTTTTCAGTAGAATTTTTAGGAGTGAAGGTTGTAAAACGTGCGCATGTTTTGTTTAGTGGTCGAATTTTGGTTTTTGTTGTTGTTGCTGTTGTTGTTTACTTTTATACGATAGTAACCTGAGGATTTTCTGGACGGTACTTTCCTCATGAAAGAGAATCAGGTCTCTGAATTTAATAAAAGAATTGGTCTTCTGTTAGAAAGTGACCTGGAACATTGCATTTGGTTTCAATTAGAGTGTTCCACTTGGATTGCTTCGGATAAACTAAAGAGGACAAACTAAGGACGCTTTGGCTTTATTCTTAGCTTGGTCGTAAAAATTAGTTCATTATTGCAAGACCATTGATATAAACGGGGCTAGCTGGCTTCTTTCAACGTGATCTAACTGCTTTGTTTTTCCTTTTTTGGTAGTTTTTTCTGACCCCTCTTCATCTTGCCTGTTGGTATGGACAGGAGTCTGTTGTTAAACTTTTGTTGGAAAATGGTGCGAACTTCAACGCTGAAGACAGGGTGAGTTGGTAAATGATTTATAAATCAAACAGTATATTGCCGTGTTTCAATGGTCGTGGTAGTTTTGCCAGACTGCTTTTGGTGCAGTTTGCAAGTATTGAACAGAAGCAATGAGCTATGAATACCCCCAAATGTGATTGTGAATTAGAGATAAACCACCACACCAAGGACTACTTCCCTTACTCTGGGTTTTTTAAAGTCCTAGAAAATTTAGTATATGTGAGACGAAGCTTCGGTTTGTCGTCCTTATCCGAGAAAACTAGCCGTTTTCTAAAAAAACAAATGATGCTAAGGGCTGAAACCCGATTTACAGCTAAAACTATTGTAATGTCATTGTCACGTGATATTTATTCCCATCGCCCAAAAATAATATCACAATGAAGTTTAGTTTATGTGTAATACGTATGTTATAATAGCCTGGGATCAGGCCCCGAAGTGGGGGGAAAAGCGAAAAAAATCGGCCAGTGAGGCGAGCGAGGGAGTCTGGGGAGGGATGAGGATGACGGAGCTCCACTGCCTTCCACTCCTCCCCAGTCCACCACTCCGCTCGGTTCGCCCGCCGATTTTCTTGCTGTTTCTTCCCATTTTCTGCCTTTTCCCCCCACTACGGAGCCTGGTCCCAGGCTAATATAATATATTATTAAAAACTGAATCATTGGATAATGCAATTCTAGCATTTTGATTGGCTTAGCCGTTATGGTATATGAGCCATTATACCATGCTCTCCATATATGGTCGGTGTACGCGTCAGTTTAAAATTGGAAGCTAGCTGAGATTTTTTTTCGCGAAGGATAGAACGGCGCTCGAAGCAAATCGTTTTAATTCATTTTTTAGAATACTAGAATGCAATTTCATTGCATGAAAAAAGACAAAAACAAACAAAAAAGCCACAAGAGCTTGTTTGAAAGTTTGTCGAAAAACACATGAAAACACATGGAACTAAAGTACCTTGACCTGCAGCTAGGAAAGAAGACAAGTGTTGTTTCTTCATGATCGGGAAGCCATTCTCCGATCGAGTCACTCGCCGATAGATAACTGCGGCTTGTTTGTCCGACATCAAGAATATAAATCACAAGTAACCAGCTACAAATACAGGCTATGCAGCCATTCACTAGAGCAATCGAGGCGGCAGTATAGCTTCTTTTGTCGTTCAGCAAAACCAGCTGTGGCTTCAAACAACTTCATAACAAGCGACCGAGGTAATAGTTTTCCTCCGTTGTTCTTACTTTTATCCAAATTCACAGTAATTTCGACGGCTGTCACTTAAAAATTCTTTTCCTTCACATTATCTGCCAGGTTTTTTTAGTTGTTCTGCTGTGTAAAATCCTAGAATCCCGATGAGTTTTTAAAAAACTAATGTTCATCGCTACAATGTTTTGATTTTTCATTCATGCTGTCCAGGCGAGTCCGTTCGCGCGTTGACAGTTTTGATAGACGTGTGACATGTGAATAGCGGAAGTCCCTTGTCTTTTCCGGTTTGTTCTAGTCAGGGAGATTCAACTAGATTTTGTGGGCGTTTTTAATAAAACAATTATTCCACTAGCGCTTGTTGGATATGAGATGATTATAGCCAACTCGGCGCAACGCGCCTCGTTGGCTATCTATCATCTCATATCCAACGCGCTCTCGTGGAATAATTGTTAAATATAATGGTTTTACAATAAAGATCAATTTAAAAACAGGAGACTCAAAGATGGAGATATTCCCGCAAAAATACTGGTTCCAGGCACCTTAATGCAGGTTTCCCTGTGGTGGTGGCTACCTTATGTAGACATAAATGTAAATGACCCAATAAACGTTCGGGGCGTTCTTTTAATTTTAGGGGCTCAAGCAGGGGCGTTTAATAGATAGGAAGCGTTTATTCTCATAACTGTAACAAGCTCTACAAAACTTATATGCTTTCGGCTAAAATATCAAAAGAGTTTCAAAATAGCGGAATATCCACTCCATCGTAAGTCTATCCTTACTTCAAATGTGACATTGAACAAGATGAAATACGCAAAGCCTCGTTTATCAAGCAAGAAACTGAATGATTTAAATGATTTTGCACCTTCTTGTCAATTCCTAGTGTTTTGGAGTCATTCTGATAGGGGCAATCTATTAGACAGGGGCTTCTAATACAATTTTAACATCGGAGAGTCTGACTCGTCCCCAGTCGTCTCTTGTCATTTGTAGGCGGTCATGGAACTGTCTCGGAAGACTATTACGGCACTGCTGCCCCCGCACGCATCTTCCACGGGTATCCGTCGTTGATATTTAAAATTAGGAGACAAAAGAGACCACTGGGGACAAGTCAGGCGTAGAAGGTGCGTTTATTAGATTAGAGGCGCTTACTTGGAAGTGGGCGTTTATTACGTCATTTAGAATATTCTCCTTGGTAAATAGCAAGTGGTAAGTAATACGTATTACCCTACTTGTGATGTTTTTAGTTTCAACGTACACCTCTGCAAAAAGCTGAACGTCAAAACCACCACTCCATAGTGCAGTTGCTGCGGAAGAATGATGCCAGGCCAAGTCTTCATCAACCAGTAAGATATCAGACATTTTTTGTATTCTTTGCTACTAATGTGGAGCATTACTGTAGGACCTGTTCATTGTCGTACGAGCTTTAATGGTAGCTTATATCGCGAAGACCTTATATTTGTTCTTCGCTACACGAACATTATTTTTATTCCCTCGGCTACCCCATCCGGAGATCACATTATAGTGAATTTACTGTGAGCTTACTTGTAAACCAAACCCATTAATAGAGGACACCAGCAAAGGTCGCGTGTGTGTCCGGTTAATACCGGTTTCATCGTATATTTTATTTCTTAGTTTTTTATGTCTATGGTTCTGGCGTTTCGTCTTACACACATGCGCTCTTTATAAAATGGTTATGAACACACTGAAGCTTATCTAATAATTATCTAATCCAGACCTGGTAAGAAAATAGGGGAACCTTGTAAAAATGGAGAAAAGCAATCCTTACCTCCCCTACCCACTAAACAATGTTGTCCCGCTGATCAAATGCAAGTTACCTCAGGAAACAATAAATACGTCAACGTTGGTTGGGAGGGTGGAGGAAGATCCGGCATTCGAGATAAGGAGAAGTTAGTGAGCCGCAAAACCACAAACTAATAACGGTTGCTACTTGTAAAACTTTTCCCACACTTCGTGGGCTTCTTCCCTCTACACATAACACTGCAGAAGTAATTTTGGCGTTGACAGTTTTCTAAGAATAGTAATTATAATAATAATAATTAAAATTTGTAACGCCCCGGTTCCATACCAATTTTTCTGAATTTGATTATTATTAACTTTAGGCGAAAAAATCACTTTTCTGCTTTTAAATGGCTTCCCCTTTTGCCTCTGATGACGCCATATATTGTAGCGATGGTAACCAAACACCATCACATTTTGTGTAAACTGTGTATATTTGCTGTGGAAACCCGGCAATGTATTATCTGCAATAAGAATAGTTAAAAAGTAATGCCAAATGAATTCCCTCTTGATTATTTTCCCTCATAAACATAAACGTGATCATTTCCATTATAGGTCAGTCTAAAGAATCTCTCAAGAAAAGCTTTCTTGCAAGTGGATGAACAATCTGGATTTAATCTACTCCAGGCAGCTGTCTTTGAGGAAAAATACAACATTGTTTTAAAAGCAAGTGGCCTTTTCGACAACTTTGTTGAAGAGATGGAACTTACAAAAACGGGAAAAAACGCCAAAGAATTTATAGGAAGAACGGCAGTTGATTTCTTGTCACTCAGAAAGAGAACAAATCCGTTTCATGTTGATATCAAAAGAATCTATGAAAAGTTGGCTGAGGACAACAGCAGACTGACTGAGCTGCTCTGGGGTACATGCAGTGATGATGCGGAACAGGCAGTTGAACTTGTATTAAATGACGGTGTAGATATTAATGCCCCAGGATCAGACAATAGTTGCACAGCTTTGCTGCAGGCGAGTCGTTCATCCTCGAGTCAGTTTATTAAGACTCTCATTGATCTTGGGGCCGACGTAAATGCCCAAAGGAAAGAAGGCAACGAAACACCACTAATGTTAGCAGCTGACTGGAACAACTACATGGCAGCAAGCTTAATTGTAACGCATGGAGCTGATGTAAATGTCCATATTAGTAATGGGTGCACGCCACTGCACGTTTCAGTCAGTAAAGGTCACGAAAACCTCGTGAGATTGTTCCTTAAACACAACGCAAATATAAATATTAAAAATACTAATGGATATACACCCCTTCTCCAGTCATTCTTAAAAGGTAACGAAAGTCTTTGTAGACTATTAATTGAACAGAAGGCGGATGTAAATATTCAAGATAATAATGGATATACACCCTTGCACTGGTGTGCATCAATAGGAAACGAAAACCTCTGTAGATTGTTACTTGAACACAACGCAAGTGTAAATATTCAAGATAATCTTGGATATACACCCTTGCACTGGTGTGCCTTAACAGGGAACGAAAGCCTCTGTGGATTGTTAGTTGAACACAACGCGGATGTAAATATTCAAGATAAAGGTGGATATACACCCTTGCACTGGTGTGCCAGAGAAGGTAACGAAAATTTCTTCTGTGGATTGTTACTTGAACACAACGCGGATGTAAATGTTCAAGATAATCATGGATATACACCCTTGCACTGGTGTGCCTTTGAGGGTAACGGAAACCTCTGTAGATTGTTACTTGAACACAACTCGGATGTAAATACTCAAGATGATGATGGATATACCCCCTTGCATTGGTGTGTCTTTGAGGGTAACGAAAACCTCTGTAGATTGTTACTTGAACACAACTCGGATGTAAATGCTCAAGATGATGATGGATATACACCCTTGCACTGGTGTGCCTCAATAGGGAACGAAAACCTCTGTAGAGTGCTACTTGAACACAACGCGGCTGTAAATACTCATGATGAACATGGATATACACCCTTGCACTGGAGTATTAGAAAGGGTGACGAAAACCTCTGTAGATTGTTACTTGAACACAACGCGGATGTAAATACTCAAGATGAAGATGCGAAAACACCCTTGCACTGGTGTGCCTTAACGGGGAACGAAAACCTCTGTAGATTGTTACTTGAACACAACGCGGATGTAAATACTCAAGATGAAGATGGATATGCGCCCTTGCACTGGAGTACTAAAAAGGGTAACGAGATCCTCTGTAGATTGTTACTTGAACACAACGCGGATGTAAATACTCAAGATGAAGATGGATATGCGCCCTTGCACTGGAGTACTAAAAAGGGTAACGAAAACGTCTGTAGATTGTTAATTGAACACAACGCGGATGTAAATATTCAAGATAATCGTGGATATACACCCATGCACTGGTGTGTTAGAGAGGGTAACGAAAACCTCTGTAGATTTTTAGTTGGACACAACGCGGACGTAGATATTCAAGATAATTATGGATATACACCCTTACACTGGTGTGCCTTAATGGAGAACGAAAACCTCTCTAGATTATTAGTTGAACACAACGCGGATGTAAATATTCAAGATACATGGGGATATACACCCTTGCACTGGAGTCTTAGAAAGGGTAACGAAGAACTCTGTAGATTGTTACTTAAACATGGCGCGGATGTAAATGTTTAAGATAAAGGTGTACCTTTCAGCTTTTAAAGGCAATTTCAGTAAGATAATCGATCTCCTGGTGAAGTTTGAAGTGCAAAATATCAACATCTGTGATGCACTAGGCAGAATTCGCCTATGAATTAGTGGAACCTGTCACCACAATTTTTAACGTATCCCTTGCTTCTGGAATTGTTCCTGCTATTCGGTAAGATACAAACACCACATCAACCCCAAAGACCCAGTTTTCTACAACTGGAGGTGATTTCAGACCTGTATCTCTAAGGTTTTAGGGGACCATGGGGTGACGTGACGATATCAGGAATAAGATAGACCCTAACTAGTTCGGCTGCTTAAAAGGTAAATCCACCGCGTTTTGCGTCCTCGACATGATGCACACCTGGTTGTCTTATCGAGATTCACGTGATAAACATCTCCACCTTTGCTTCTTGGACTTTTCGAAAGCCTTTGACCGTATTGTTCACAACGTGCTGATTAGAAAACGATGATGTCTTATACCATAGATCATCAGTTTCCTCTCAAACCGAAGACAACGCTTTAAAATTTAAAAGTCGCTTTCAAAATGGTTCTTAGTCAGTGCCGGTGTACCCCAGGAAACTAAACTGGGTCCTATCTATTTTCCATTATGATTAATGACATATCTATTCCCACTGGACGAATCTGTGAAAGCATTTAGACGATGTTTCCATCTCGGAATGTCCGACTAAGAAAGGAGGTGCGTCCATTCAGTCTACATTAGACAATGTCAGCTTCTGGGCTTCGATGAACCTGATGAAGGTTAATGCTAAAAAATGTAAAGCGCTATGGGTGTGTTTCTTTAAAGAGACCCCTCAGCTACCCCCGTTACGAATTGATGGTCAAGTACTCGAAACAGTTCGCTCCCACAAGGTTCTAGGTTTGCTTATCCAGGACAACCTAAAACGGAATGAGCACCTCTGTATGATCGTATCCAAGGCATCCAAGCGTCTGCACATTATCTGTGTTCTACGTAGAGGTGGCGTCAGTTCTGCTGATCTTGTTGCTGTCTCCGTCGCTCTCGTACGTTCCGTCCTAGAGTATTCAGTGTTGTGTGGTTTAGCATAACACCCTTCCCGCCTATCTGTCCAGAAAAATAGAGCTGGTCGAAATGCGTGCTTTAAGGATAGTATAGCCCCGATCTTCATGGCATCATGCCAGGAAGCCTTACAACGTGCTAAAATCGCTAGACTTGAGGACAAGCGCAATGAGCTGTGTATGAGGACATTTGATGATATTACAAAAAAGGCGGGCCCTCGTTAAAACTGCTTACACTGAATGGGTCTATCGTCGATGACTATACTCTTGGTCGTTTTCTTAAATATGTAAAACTGGGCGTTTGAGGCGAGGCTTCCTCCGTACTGCTATCCTAATGGAAAACTCAACATCTTCTATAAGTTAATGTAATTCTTAATTTACGATTGGTAATTAGGTTAGTATAATAATTATAGAAACTGAACCGAGGGTCTCAGTGGAGTTAACCGATAGGCGTAAAACGGCCCCAAATTTAGTCGATAGCCGTAAAAATTGAAAAATTTTAACCGTTAGCCGTAAATTTTGGGGTACAAAGAGTTAACCGTATAAAATTTTGCTCCTTAGATTTGATAATTTGAGGAAGGTGCTAAACTCACTTAGCACGGTTGTGTTTCTTCTTTCGCGGCTACTTTGGCTCTTTACGTTCCCGTTTCTGCTAGTTTTGCTTTTCACGAAGATTCTGTTCAAATAAACTGTTATATCTTTTATTAAGAATGGTCCTTTTCATGGCTCACAAAAACTTTTAGTTGACTGGCAATAGCTTAACCTTTTGTTTCGATTTTAAACAAAGAGTTCATGTCAGTTTAAGAGAATGAGAAAACTGGGCCAAAGATCTTCAAAGCCGCGTACTTCTCAGCTTGGCTCCGATACTTGTAAATGTGAGAGTCACAGAAATGTTCGAGTCTCAGTCTGTATGCTTGTTCTTTTTAGTTCATGTTGTACAATCTGTTTTTTAGTGGGGTAAAGACCCTATTGTGGTAGTAAAAAGAAAAGGGGGTAAAAAATACAAAGCGACGCGAAGAACGAATCAGTAGCCCCTGAAGAAAAGGAAATCACTCCAAGATGCAAAAAAAAATGACAATCGTTTTCATAGTTAACATCTCTATCCGTAAAATGATATTAGAAGTGGAACACTCTAAAAGCATGATTTATGAAATATTAAAAATGTTCAGAAGAATAACATATTTCATCCCGAGATGATCCTAAGACATTTATTTTGCTTTAAAGACACAAAAAAAATACAGGTTTATTATTAATATTTAACTCTTTGAAACAAAGAAATTAATTTTTAACTTTATAGTTAACCGTAACTGAAAAAAAATTAACCGATAGCCGTACAAGAGCAAAAATTTTAGCCGATAACCGTAAATGCCACCACCCCATTGAGACCCTCTGAACCATATCCTTGTAGGTTTTAGTATTTTTTTAATTATATTGAAAACTCCAGTTTTAATAAGGTTTTAAAATGTGTAATTTTCTGCATATTGTAAACACATTGTAATTCATTTTTAATGCGAGAATGTGGTAATTAAACGTCTTTATTAAATGAGGAAAAAAATCTTTTCATCCATGTATTAACAGACGGTGTCTAATAATCTCAAGGACTTTCTTAGCTAAAAATTAACCACGGAGGCGATACCTTACATACTGATTACACGAATAATCAGGGGCACCCAACGAGAATATAGTTCAAAACCACTTAAACATGGCATTGTTAAACGTATTTTAGTATTTTAACGGTAGATATGGGCATATTTTTATCCCCTAAAACCTTTTATCTGTTCGGATTCCCTAGCTGAAAGTCTAGTGATCCGAAAATAATAGGGATCAAAACTTACCTTTTCGAAAATTTGAGCCAGAAAAAAGGCTTTCGAAAATTCTAGGCCACCTTTTTAGGGTAAAAATCCGTTGAAAATGGGCAATTATACCATTTTTTAGATGTTCGAAAATCCTAGGAGAGGCAGGCAAGCAACAACTTTTACAACAAATGTTCCGAAAATTCTAGATCTCAAATCGTCTTCCGAAGAGATATTTTCCGAAAATTGACGTTGGGTGCCCCTGAATAATGTCATCTGCAAAAGGACCAGATCAAACTAAACACCACGTGAACTTTCATTACTTCATTTCAGTTAGAACATGTTACAAGAAGGCTTCGGAAGAAGACTAAATTACGGTGAATCAAATGTGTTATAAAGCAACAGCTAGTAAACCAGAACTTTATTCATGAGCCGTTAGTGTATTATAGAAAACTATCGCGTTAACCGTGAATGAAGCCGACTGTAGATACAAGATGATAAATGCAAACAATAATACAGTACAACCCCGCCTTACGGCCCCCTCGATAATGCGGTCACCTTGTTATTTCGGCCAGTTTTTTTCGGCCCGGCAAAACGGCCATATATTTCCTTCTAAAAACACCGTTGATGCGGTCACCCGTTAATACGGCCAACGGCCACCTTTTAAAATCTCAAACAATAGAATCCCTTATAATTTCACCCCGTTAATGCGGCCACTCGATCGAAATTTAGAAAATTAAAATGCCTTTGACATGTCAATTTTATTGATCTAGTATTCTAAGCTTGTTCTCGTTCTGTTTTTAGACTACGGTACACTTAAAATGCACATGTGGCGATTTATTAATATTTATTTTAAAAGAGTTTCATGTACTGGAGGAAAATTTTAAGAAGTTTTTTCAATTACCGTACGGGATACCTACATCCCGGTTGATTAATAATGAGAACAGTACGGTGAATGCGATGTACGGTGTATTCCTGGTGCATTTGTCATGACAGTCCTCAAGTCATGAAATTTGAGCGTACCCAGGTAATACGGCCAAACCGTTAATAAGGCCAACCGTTAATACGGCCAATTTTTTTTGCCCATTGGTGACCGTATTAACGGGGTTCCGCTGTTGAAACACCGGTAACAGTAAAATAACTGATGGCTTGCTCAACAGAGAAGCTGTTATTATTAATAACTCACCAATCTTACTCAGACCCCCTGGAAAAAATCCTCTGTAGGCAACCCCTCCACCACCCCCCTCAGAAATTGCCTCATTTTGGACCCCCTCTCCCCTCGGAAGTTCCGTTGCCCTCCGTTATGTGCGCAGTGACCAAAGTAGCTCAGGCTTTCGAGCTGGTCACTGCACGTGCAATTAATTGGCGTAGATGTTTACATAAAACTACAAATAATGGAGAATGACGAAAAACAAAGTGCAAAGAGTCTTACAATTTTATATAAAAGCAATAGAAAGGACAGTCGAACTTGTATATAACGGCCACCCGCGGGACTTGAGGAACTGACCGCTTAATACAAGTGGCCGCTTCATACAGGATCATTAAAAATATTTACTGGGCGTGGTCAAATGTCAATTTTAATGGCGTATCATACAAAAACACTATATGCAAGGGATCAATAGGACAATCAACACTCTTTCAAGCAATCATTACTTTAAACAAAGTTCACTGCCAACTTGTAACTTAACGGTATAATATACGTAGCTAATCAAATTCTTGAAACGGCCAACAAACAATGGGAAAGTTACGGTAAAGGGCAAGAGAGTTAACAGAGGTCGAGGTTATGGCCTGGAAATCCCTTGCGAGTTTTCGTTTAAATGAGATTTGTTCTCCATCACATGGCTGAAGAACAAGCTAATTAAAGAGGAATTTCTAGCTAAAGAGTGAAGCATGTTCAAAACGAACTTTTTTGGCGTTCGTGATACCGGTTCTGTACTTCAGCACATTGCGGATATCTGAAAAGCATTAACGACGCTAAACGGCCGAGTATCAGCTTACAGTAGCTTTGTACATGTTATTTCTTTATAGTAATAATGGATCGCATTTTAAACACAATAAAAGACCGCATAAAATGTAGCCTGCAGTGCAGGCGTTTTCTTTGAGCGCTCAATTTGCTCGCGAAAGCGACATGTTGAAACTTCGCGAAGAGAGGAGGAGATGGGGTTACTATTTCTACTCTCCCCAATCTTCCACTGTCATAAAATCAAAGATGGCGGCTACAACAATATTACGAACACGAACAAGGTTTCGCCCACCCAAAATACGCCTGCAGTGCAGGCTACATAAAATTACATATAGCTTAGTTTCCGTTCAAGGGTGGCCACTTAATACCGGTAAAAACAACGAGGAGAGACAAACATAGGACTGCTACAGAGTGAATCAGTGAACGCGGTCGTTTAAAAGAGGTGGCGGCCTAATACAGGCAACAAATACAGCGTTTGTATGAGCGGAAAATTGGGACTTTGAAAACTGGCCGCTTAATAGAGGGTGCCCGCTAATACGGAGCCGTTATATACAGGTTCGAATGTAACAGATAATAGAAATCATTATTGATAGTAGGCACTGGGAGAGTACCCTGGGTGGCAGAGACTTTTCTAGCGCGGTTTCCGGTTTCTGTCAAGTCGAGTATCCACTGTTAATCATCTATTGCCACTGAAGGGACTTTCAAGGTATTTAGAATACATGAATAAAGTGGTTAGATTCAGTCTCAGATTCAACTTTTGTGCTGCGTCAGTGGGGGGATTTGCTTTCATAAAATGAGTTGATAAAGTCAATTTTCGACCTTATAAAGATTGAAAAGCTGGCGTTTCGAGCTCTAGCCTTTTATTAGAGTGAATCAAAGGATTATGGTTTATGTGTGGTCATAGCTATTAAAGTGGAATGGTTATGAAACCCTTTAGACTCCTTTGTTATATGTTTTTGTTAGCTTTTTTGGACCTGACTGTACACAACGGTCAATAGCATTCCTATCATTTTGAACTTACTGGCCAATAGAAACATTGCATTAATTTATTCAGTCACAATTTGTGAACAAAAAACAAAGGATTGTGCACGGTCAGGGAGCTTCCAACATAAACTACGGCACCGTTGTTTTCAACTTTGATATTTGCCGCCTTTCATAACCAGTCTCCTCTACTAACTATGGTGTGGTAAATCAGTTAGCTATCAGTTATCGATTGGTGTATTAACTTTATAGGAGGTAAAAAGAAAAACAAGAACAATTAATCTGAATGAAAAGCGTTCACTAACTTCTAGGGATTAAGAGTAATGATTGTAAACAGATGAATTGCTGTTCTTGATTATGCGACTTTTCGTTTTGCACTTAGTTACGAGGTATTTGCCCAGAAGAAAAAAACGAAGTAGTGCACAAACACTCTACTGGGACAGAATTTCTTTTTAATGTAAAGTGTATTTTTTTAAAACCAATAGGTTATTTCAACGGATATCATGTTGACCATGTCATTCTCGTCACACTATAGACTCATTATAAAGGAGGAATCTGTTGTAACTACTAATGTAGAAATTTCAAGATACTATAAGGATCAAGAGACTCCCCAGGATGCAACGAAACTTTATTAGGCCTTTAAAAGAGCCAGCCCACGGTCAAAAAATAACGAGCATTGAGTGGCAAGAGTTGAAAAATCCCGATTTCTTTCACTTTTATGTACATAGATAGTTTTTAGGTAGATACGAAACGTGACCCGTAGCCAGGACTGCATTTTGAAGGCGGGATGATAAAAAACAACAACAACAACAACAACAAAAAACAGGAACTCAAGAGTAAAACGAGGATATTTCGCAAACTTTTAAACTTCAAAATTAATTTTTGGCAAAGAGAAATGTATGTATTTTAAATTTTGAGAATAACAATGGCAATGTCACTATTTAAAAAGAAAAAATAGACAGAAATTTGTAAATCTGATTATTCATGAGGTTTGCTGCTGTTTATCATGATCTTTCAGTAGTGTGCCAATAAGTTGGGTGCTTCTTAGTCAACAGGTCAACGACTTCTTCCAGATCAATGTCTGTTAGATAGTACATGCATATTTCTCTAGTTACATGAAGCTAGAGTAATGGGAGCACGCTGATGGGCCACTCCCCCCGGTGCGTCAGTTTTCCAATACCTAGTAATCTCTAATTTTAGATTTACCTTCAAGATTTTTAAATGAAGAAACTCGGTTTCGGATAAACGTCTGCAGCAGGAAAATCTTTACTAATGGCACGTTCAGTTTCTTTTTGAGGCAGTTTTCGAACAGAGGTATCGATGGACTGACACTGAAATCTGGCGGCGTCCTCTGTTCAACTGACCTCCGGAGCCTGTGGGGGGTTGCGAGCCCATCCGTTGCAGCCCCCTTCCCTACGGGTCTGTAGTAAATTGTTCCCGCCATCGGCCTTTTTATTTGCGATAAATTTTTGAGGTTGGATTCATTGAACGGCCTAATTTTTAACCCGAAATTCGCTAACATTAACTTTCCTAGCATTCGCAAACAAAGCCGCACGGAGAAAGTATCACATTTCTCATCAACAGAACATTTTTTTCTTTCACTAGAAGGCCTTTATCGTTGGCCAGATCGTATACTGTTCAAACAGTACATTCTCTTAATTTAGTGCACCTGTTTGTAAACGTTTTTGTTCATTTTTTATTCATTTTAGACCTACAGAGCTGGATGCTTTAGTTTTCAGACATCTTCATTCAGTTTTCACCGGATATCTTCCAGATAATTCTCTCAGCTCTGTATAGTCAGGGCAAACAAGAACCTTGAAAACTTTGTCGTATCAAGAATCTGCCATTTGTTTGGCTCACAAATATTTCTCAAGGCCATTCGTACCTTAGAAAAATAAGGACAGACAAGGAAAAGTGAGACTTTTTTCTTCTGCTCCTCTAAATGCACAGGTGTCTCATAGCCCGGGTACGTTTTATTCAAGATTGCCAGGTGACTATGGGCGTATTAACTTGATTTTTCCCGTAGACGACCACCACCTCCCGTAAGCGAACGACCACTTTGTCGTACAACGTAATTATTCACTTCTTATTTCAATTTTAACAACCCCCAAATCCAATATTTTCCAATTTTCCCAAATACACCCCCTAGTTTTTCTGCATTAAAACAATTCATTAAAAACATTCGAAAAATCATCCAAAAATTATTGAACCAAGGACTCCAAACAAATTGAGTCATTTTTCAATTGAATGAAATCTTGGCTAGATATTTTAAAACGCCTACCAAGCCGGCTATGAACGTGGGTGTGCGAAAATTGCCATGTGCCCCGCTAACCCCTTCCTCTGCTATCCCGGTCCCCTACGGTATGTTTTTGTATGTGGGAGGCTGTCAGGATATTTCATGTGACATACATGAAGAACTTTCTTCAGGAGTCGTTTCCAGACGGTAGCGACGGCGTCGGTGTGATTGTAGTGTGATTCGGGCATTGGTTTAATAGCTCAGATAGATGGATTGTTTTTTACATTAGAGAAGAGATTACCGGAAGCACATTGAAAAGCAAACGAAAATCTGAACTTGGAGCTGTAGCGGGGTAAGGAAACTTGTTTTAACATAGCAGTTTCAGTTAGAAGCATCCTACATAGCTATGCTGATCCCCCGGGCTGTTCGGCGGGTTGCTTCTGCTTGCTGTTATCACAAATAGCTGTAATGTGCTCTTTACTTACAAATAAGTCCCCACAGTTTTCTGAAATGATACATTAACCGACCTAGTTGAGGTGTTATAATTTGTGTTGAGAAATACGATCGATTCACTTCCGGCTTGGTATCAAGGTTCGTCCCCAGCGTACCAATTTAATACAGCTGTTTTACTATTAGGAATTCACAGTACAGACTGTTGCCGTATTTTGTTTCCTTGCTCTCCGTTGAAAATTTAAACCTAGAAACACATTTTAAGTTTTAAAATAATGGAAATCTGTGATGATCATTTGGGGACATTTCATTCTTTATCCGCACCCCAGCCCCCTAAGAATGGAGGATTTTTTAATAGGGTAGCTCAGATTTTGCTTCAAAGAAGCCGAAATTTGACCCTTCAGGCATTTTTTAAAAGGTGCAGACAAATAATGAATCCTTGAAATTTCATTTCTCAAAGGTCACCAACAAAAAGTTGAGCATTCAGATTCCAGCCATTACTATGGGGGAGGAGGGGAAGGTGCACGTAATTCACCTTCTGAGCATCAGATTTCACGTTACTTTTCATGATCTTTGTTGTAAAGAAACCCCTAAAGTTCAGTCATCCGTTCTCTGCCACATACTGTACTTGTACAAACTACGAGTCGCTATTTCAAGTTCGCGTTACAGTCAAGGCAGGTCAAGCGTACCCCCCAAGATTCTATTAATGAATTAAATATTTGAAAAATGAATCCGGTAATCGTTCCCATAACTATTGTCAAATTCAAATCGGCATTCCTGCATGCGCAATGAGCAGTGAATATTTTACGTGAACTTCCCTGTATTTGGTCAGATTGAAAATCTTTGAATGGATTAAATTTGTTAGAAGACATTTACATCAAATTCAGGGAAACTGAGCTGGTAGAAATTTCGTAACTGAATTGCATGTGAATTCACAGCTCCTTACGAATGCAGAGATGAATCTGAAATTTACAACTACCAACAGATTTAACTTTCGAATAATTAACTCATCAATGGGATCTTGGGGGGTAAGGTTGACCTGACTTGACTGTAATTTATAAATTTTATTTCCCTTTTACTGTCTGAAAGTCGGATAGTTTAAGGTTCAAAAATGTCTAAGCAGAAGAATAAGATTGATTTTAAGTCCAAGAGCATGGCAGAACTGCAGGAACGAGGATTTCAGTGCTTGTAGTTGAAATTCTCACCTAAGCAGCTGAATTTGTTTTAACATTGGAGCTAAACTTCGAAAGAGATAAAACCGGTGATGAAGGTAAATTTCACAATACATACATAATTCAAATTACAAAATTCATGATCGCACGCTATTAATTTCCAATCCATTTTTGCTATAAAGACAGTTTGGCCATGGGTTGTTTGACATTATATTTTCAACTGTATATATATTACGACAAAGAGGGACTCGACACTTTTGATGACGCTTATGCTGATTATTTACTAACTGCTAAGTTGAATCAAGAGGCTGTTCACATATCTGTAGCAAAAAAGTTTCTGTGAACATGTACTGGCTTTGTATTTAATCATGTAGAGACAAACGGAGGCAGTGTAGTTCGGGCAAGATAAGCATAGGCTTATTTTAAAGTGTATAAAAGGCGGTTGAGATAAAAATGTAAGCACATGCAGTATCATGAAATATAAGTGTGTCTGCATCATAAGTTTCATTTTTTCCTAGCTTAGATCCACTACCCAAAAGCATTCTTTCCACTGCAGAGGAGATTTCCATGCGCTTGTTGAAACTCCATGTTTTGGAATTAATCCCAGCGAATATTTTTTTCTGTCTCAGAAGGTGAATTAATAAACAGACCCTTGAAAATAAAGAATCATGTAACCAGAATCAGGAGTGAAATTTCCTGCTTTTGAGCATTGGAGCTGTTCTGTTGTTTTTGCAAAAGGTCTTTTCATTGAAACTTTTTTTCCTAAGTTTGTTTCTTGTCTTGGGTCAAAGACTGTTTTCCTGTAATGTTTTAAAAAAACTGGGCATATCTTAACCCTCGGATGTACGGGGGGTGGCCTAAGGTTTTTCTGATTTTTTTCCTTGACAATAAAACATCAGCACCTGAAGTTTGCTGTAGCTGTTCTCTTATCCCTCATGCCATTTTGAGGCAGGTTTAGTGATGGTCAGTTACTATGGTTATGAGATATGATGTCATAAGTAGCAGGTGGTCAAGCCATTTTTGAGTGAAAGTGCATGTTTTTCAACTTTTTTCAACACTAAAAGTAAAACTTGTGGATAAAATGATGCAACGTAAATAATTATGTGTTATTTTACAAGTTAAGTGCAAAAAAATATTTTTCTATTTTTTTTACCTGATTTCTAATTCTTGATAAAACCCAATCTGGTGGCCAAGATGGCAACCTTGTTTTGAGATGTCACAGAAATCCAGCAGTGCCACCGACCCACAAAATAAACTTCATTGTGTAGAGAAGATCAAAGGCTTTCCATTGAAGGCAAAATTCTTTTGAGACACTGCAACATATCAAAAACTACATTGTAAGGGGGGGGGGGGTCCATCAACCCACCCCCCTTGTACCACAGTGGGGGTCTGCGTGTATGTCTGAGGGTTATGCAGTGGCCCAATGGACGCCGTCAGGCTGACAATGATTGAGCAAAATTCTATGGTATTTTGCAAATGTTAGAGTCCTTACGTGTCCAAAGCAATGGAGCTAAGAACCAAAATTTGGTTTTTTGACAAAACTGGGATTTGGCTAAAAACTTTAAACAGAAAGCTTTAGAATACCTGACTACTGTTTTGTATCGTCTGTAATAACATAGTGCCTATAATGTTATGCCTCATAATTCCGAAGTTGAGTTGAAGTATCATACCACCAAAATCGTACAAGCAATTACACTATCCAAAACAGTAACAGTGGACAGAAAAGGGTGAAATAAAACTGAGAATCACAGTAGCTATACAAAGCATGCATAATACTATTGCATAAAACTGACATAATTTTAATTTAGCAGCCAATAAGTTTACAAAATTCTGGTACTCTGATACATACCTACATGTACCTTAACCTGTCTAAACTGTCTATTGAAAATCTGAATTTTGGATGTTATTCTTTTGGCTATTATTTCCTTTATCTCTTTTTTTCAGTTTATTTATATTTTTTTGATTTTATATTATAAGAAAAGTGAAAGAAAAAACAATAGAGCCCCCCAAAACGAAATGAAACCCAGAAATTAAAAACTAAATTAAAGCAAATTAGATTTTTATGCAGTTGAGTACTGCTACTGCCAGCATGCATTTCTGGACTATTACACAGCAGCTCCACTAATAATGGAGACACATGATGCAGTTTTACTTTTACCTGATTAAAATATTGCATATTTCAAACCATGCGTTTACATCATTCCATTTATTTTTTAGTATTACATGAAATAGAAATTACAAAATGAAATATTTTATTAAGATTTTAAAAGCTTCGCGTGACTAATCTAGCGTGACTTATTTTACAAAACCAATTAACGTCATATGGCGGCTGTCGCTCTTGGTACGGTGAGGCAAGGGACAGCAATACAAGACTTCCTTCTTTCATTTACCTTTGCTGAATTGCTCTGTGTGTCTTTTGGCCATGGATAAAGGTTAGGCTTGTGTGATTTGAAATTCTTAAACACTTGGTAACTTAAAACAAGTCATGAGACCCGGGTCATGAGAGCGAGCATTTGAACTCACAATTCACAAGTCGTAAATGACAATCATTATTCCTCTTCGCGTCTGTCAATTCACTTTAATAGTCTATGAATTTCCACGCGGAGCCAATTGGATAGTGTGTATCTGCCGCACGTTTCCTTTTTTTGAGCTATACTACGTCTATACTAATAGTTCAGGGGCACCCAACGAGGATATAGTTCAAAACCACTTAACATAGCATTGTTGAACGTAGTTTAGTATTCAAACGGTAGATATAGGCATATTTTTATTCCCTAAAAGCTTTTCATCTGTTCGGATTTCCTAGCTGAAAGTCTAGTGATCCGAAAATTATAGGGATAAAAACTTACCTTCTCGAAAACTTCAGCCAGGAAAAGGCTCCCGAAAATTCTAGGTGGCCTTTTTTAGGGTCAAAATCCGTTAAAAATGGGTAATTATACCATTTTGTCGATGTTCGAAAATCCTAGGAGAGACAGGCAAGCAAGAAATTTTACAACAAATGCTCCGAAAATTCTAGATCTCAAATCGTCTTCCGAACAGATATTTTCCCGAAAATTGCCGTTGGGTGCCCCTGATAGTTTCATGATATGAAATTAAATGAGGTCCTTGTGTACGTTGGTTCGTTTCGGGTGTTTGATAATTATTCAAATCGCCATCGCTGTATTTACATACCCAGGAGTAGAATTCTGGCCTGGCGATCAGAGAATCTTACTGGTTTTCTTCGAAACTAACGCCTTGCTCGGAATAGAAAAAGCGCTTCGAAACAAAATTTGTACAGTGGAACTTCGAGTTAACGAACCTCTATATAACGTAGTCCTCGGTATAACGAACGATTTTCTTCAGCCCGGCCAAAATTACAATAAAATGTATGCAACAGAACCTCGATTTAACGAAATTACTATGGTTACGAGATATGATGTCATAAGCAGCAGGTGGTCAAGCCATTTTTGAGTGAAAGTGCATGTTTTTCAACTTTTTTCAACACTAAAAGTAAAACTTGTAGATAGAATGATGCAAAGTAAATATTTATGTGTTATTTTACAAGTTAAGCACAAAAAAATATTTATTTTCCCTTTTTTTTTTTTTACCTGATTTCTAATTCTTGATAAACCCAATCTTGCGGCCAAGATGGCAACCTTGTTTTGAGATGTCACAGAAATCCAGCAGTGCCACCCCCCACAAAATATACCTCATCGTGTCGAGAAGATCAAAGGCTTTACATTGAAGGCAAAATTCTTTTGAAACACTGCAGCATATCAAAAACTACATTGTAAAGGCGGGGGGCTCCATCAACCCACCCCCCTTATAAGCGGCAGTTTATGGTATGACCCTTTCGTAGAAAAGTTGGTAAAAGGTTTGGTCCGTCTTCTACGACCTATATTATTCAATTGGTTTTACATATAGAATTGAGAAATACTTTAAACTAACGTGATGAAATTATATATTTTTCCAGAAAAATATTTTTGTACCACAACTGCAAAGACCACTCATAGCTAACCTTCACGTTCTTTTAAAGGCTTCCGGGCCAAAAAGACACCAAGAACCCATACCCTTTTTGGAGTGAGGGGGTTTCTATCACTAGCATCCAGTTGTAAATCCTGACTTGGATTAGCCTCCCACGCAGGTGTTTTTAGGGGAGCTCGTTTTTCATCCCTCCTCCTCTTCGGTTGAGCAGGCGTTTGTGGGGAGGGATGAAAGACGAGCTCCCCTAAATTCGCCTGCGTGGGAGGCTAGACTTGGATATGCGATAAAGAAATTGGAAAAAAACTATGTTCCAGCAATTCTGATCTCCCGTGTGACTTTAAGTTACGTAATCTGTTTCAGTGCAATGTAAAGCTATCAGCTAGAAAAGATAGCCTGGTAGTAGGCTCCCCCAGGAAATATTTTGATTTTAACTCCTTAAAGTCCCCTTTCTTGGGTTTCCGAGTCATTCAGACAATATTGGCCAGATTTCAATTTGGAAAGTGTTTTTTATTATTAAAATGTATTTACTATGAAAAATCTGACCGATTTCCGTAAAACGGTGGAAGCCGGTGTGAATCCGCGCCTGCTATGAATTAGTTTCACTCTTGGTTTTTATGCTAGATTGTTAAGGAAAAGAAACACACACGCACGCTAATCTGAGTTTCAGGCCTTTATACTGGTACATGAGAAATATCTGCAATTTGATTGGCTTAGAGCAGTGGTATTTCAGCTTAATTTGAAATACCTACATGTGAAAATTACAAACCTTTTCTGGGTAGTAGTATAAACAAATAATAGCATGATTTGTACCTGATATTTGGCATAAATACCACTTGTGATATTTCAAAATTGTCTCAAATTTCACTCGCCTAACGGCTCATGAAATTACGTATAACAATTCTGAAATATCACTCGTGGTATTTATGCCAAGTATCACTACAAATCATGCTATTGCCTATACTAATAAGAGGTAAGGAGAAATTAAGAAGAAACAGTGGGGCGAGAAAAGAGGGAGAAAGGCCTGACACACAAAGGCATTCTTGTTCTCATCACTACCTCCCCTTCCCTCTAGAAAAGCCCAGGCTAGTAAAAAGCATCTGCTACTTTTCATGTTCCAGAAGGTTGTTTAGATAGAAGTCAATCGGTCCCACCCAGTGAAACGTTTTACCTGGGTTTTACCACCCGGTGAAACGTTTTTCCCTTTTCCCAGTAGTAGCTGTAATTGATTCTCTTTTTTTCTATTGTAGTAGTTTCTCTATTCTCCATAGTAGTAGTTGTAATTGAGTCTTTACTATTAATTTTTATTTTAGATGTTGGACGACTGTGATGTTTGAGCATGGCATCTGCTTTACAGAAGGCTCAAACGCATGATGACCGAGTGCATGGATTTCGCAAAGTGAAAGTCACTATTTTGGGATCTGAATGGGGACCAAGTAATGAGGGGCTTTCCACCATAAACAGAGAATTAGCCATTCAGTTAGCCAAGTGCCCTGAAGTGGAAATCACTTTCTTTTTACCAAAATGTAGTCAAGAGGATAAAAAAGTAGCCCTAGATCACAAAGTAGAGATCGTAGAGGCAACGCCTATGCCTGGCTTTGAAAAACTGGATTGGCTTTGCTTTCCGCCGAAAGATTTGCAAATCGACATTATCGTAGGTCATGGAGTTAAACTCGGTAAACAAGCACAAGTCATTAAAGACCTTAAAACGTGCAAATGGTTCCAAGTCGTACACACAGACCCTGAGGAGCTTGGGATGTTCAAAAACTTTTCTAATCCAATTTCAGAGGGGGAAGAAAAACACAAGACCGAAGTAGAACTGTGTAAGATGGCTGACCATGTTGTAGGAGTTGGACCCAAGTTGAGCGACGCCTTTCGCTCATATCTTCGTGGCTGTAAAAAAGGTGACCATGTTCTTGACTTCACTCCTGGGGTACTTGAAGAGTTTGAGGCTGTAAATCAGGACCCTAGCGAGAGGCAGCAACGCAGTGTCTTGGTGGTTGGTCGTGGAGACGTAGACGATTTCGAATTAAAAGGGTTTGACATTGCTGGGAAAGCGATTGCCGCCTTACAAGATACTCGCCTTATGTTTGTTGGGGCATCGGATGGAAAACACGGAGAAATAGCAAAGCGGTTAATCGATTGTGGCGTTCCTGCAAGTCGACTGAGAGTTAGAGGATTTGTTGAAGACCGAAAGAGTTTGAAGCGCTTATTCCAAGAAGTGGATCTTGCAGTCATGCCTTCGAGAACAGAGGGCTTTGGTCTAACAGGACTCGAGGCAATGTCAGCTGGTGTCCCTGTGCTCGTCAGTCGCAATTCTGGCTTTGGCGAAGCACTGCGCAGTGTAGCTTTTGGCTCATCATTTGTAATTGACTCAGAGGACCCCGCAGTGTGGACCGCAGCCATCCAGAATATCTGGTCCAAGGACAGGAAATGTCGACTTGAGGAAGCGGTGACCTTGCGTGATTCCTATGCCAGGAAATACAACTGGGCCAAACAGATAAAAGAGTTAGTTGACAAGATGATCAGCCTTGCTCATGGTAGGAATGTCAATTATATTTTCTTCAGTGGCACACTATCAGGTAACAATAGGGAGAAAAATGAAAAGAAACAGAAATAGGATCGCTTACAAGTTTTGCCCTGAAGTCTTGATAAAAATGTTCTTGAATACCTATTTTAACCTTATGCTGAAAACAGCAAAACTGTAACGTTTGTAATTTTTCAGGTACATTGTTTTCAGCGGAATGGTTTGTGGAGAGCGGTCGTTATACCCTTCGGTCATAGGCTTAATCGGCAGCACTTCACATATATGCCTATAGTTATGTTTTCTCCATTTTGTAGCAACAGAAGATTCTCGAAACGCCCGGAGCTCCTTCGAAACAAAGTGCAACGCCTCTCAGAGGATGGAAAGCATGACTGAGGACCATGAAGGTATCTTCGTAGAAAGCATGCGTAGAAATCATTTCTCACTGTTTTTAACCAAGTGGGAGAAGCGCGGGAGGCGCGCGAGAGCGAGCTAAAAATAGGGACGGGGAGAGAAATAAAACGTCGGCCGCTGAGCTTCTATCCCAGGAATACACAACCTAATATATAATTCCCAACAAATGTCCGCCCCCGGGAGGAATGGGCACACCTGGAATTGACTAAGTTAAGGTGACTCGACCCAGTTTTTTTGGGGGGGTACCATCCTAATTTGAAGCTCTCTGGTATCCCCACCTTTACTTTTATCATAAGTCTAACACATAGAATGGATAACAGGAGGGCATTTTGCATGCGCATGCGTGAATCCGCTGAATGACAATAGCGTGGGCGCATCAAATCTGATGGCGGGAAATCGAAAACTCACGCGTAAAGTTACAGTCCTTTTAAAAGCCATTTCGTTGGTGCTTTAAATACCGCACTTTCCTTCAAAAAATATTCTCCATCACAAAAATCAGACGTTTTCTACGCGGATTTTCACTCGTAGATTTTTCAGCAGTAGGTTTCCTTGGCCTTTTAAAGACTTTCAAGACTCAACGCCAAAAAGTCATGTTCCTGTATAAGTCTGATTTTCACTGGCAAAGCAATGCATTTCTATGGTTTGATTTCCAAACTCGTGGTTTTACACATCAGCGAGGAAATGCATCGTAGCAATGTTCAGCTGCTTTAGGGCAAAAAGCGAAAAAAAAAATTACCACGCAAGGTTTATTTATTAGCGCGATGTCTATGTTAAACTGATCGTGAAGACAAGCGTTTATATATGCCACAAAAACGTGAAATCTATGGGGTTTTTACAGTTTTTTGAAAGTTTTCGCGGAAAAATTTATAAAAAATATTCTATAGGAAATGAAGAATGGACTGAGTTTGAGACAGAAACAATTACAAGTGATTAGGTAGAACATAATCACTTGAGCATTTCTAAGCTCAGTACTGTTGCAGACAAAACGAATGCACGCATACTCCGAAAAAACGAACAGTACTTTTATTTTTCTTTAACTCTAAAGATACAAAGATTTTTCCTAAGCTACTATTTTGAAAGTACTCTTGAGTAACAGCTCCTGTGCTCCACAATCGATTTCTTGTTATTAATCTATATTTGATGACAGTAGTGATCCCTTCAAAACAGAGAATGGCCATCACTCCATATAAATCTAAATGACGATGTTGTTCACCTTCAAAGCCTGTTTGAACATAAGATAGGAAGTTTGTTAAAGGGGTGCATATAATGCTGTTTCCTCAAAAGATAAATACTTCTGCTAAAGGACCCAAATGAGCTGGGATGCGACAACAAACATGACACAAATGGATGGATAAATTTGTCTGTTCTTAATGTTTCTGTTGAGAGCTTTTTACTGTATCCAGATGAACCCCTTATGTAAGTTGTACATCATGGAAGAATTATCAAGCAGAAACTGATGCACTAAACAAGAATGTGGTTCAATACAGAGGAGAAGCTGGTCTCAGTCAACATCCTTCGTGAATGAAATGTCTCACAAATTAGCATATCAACAAATGTAGTATCCACAAAATGGTATCATTTAGGAATAAATGCGATTTTTTTGCAACAGAAACCAGGATTTATTTAAAAGGTGTATTGATAACGTTTCATTTCGTGCTATTTTGGGGTTGGGGAGTTAGGTTAGATTTTCGTTAAAACGCCACAATGTTATATTTATTTGCATAATAAAAAGGAAACAAACAGTGTACCATCAAAATAAGGTGGAAAAAACCAGAGTTCAAACCAATTGCTGTAATTTTTTTCCTTTGTATAACTAAATGATAGAATATTCTTATTTTCAAAACACAATCTTACTGGCATCATTGTATTGATTTCAATTTATAGTTGAAGTGCGTGCATTTTATTTCTCAACGAAGACGTTCCGGAGAAGAAAGCTAAAATTACTGCAGAAGGCGATTTTTCACAGCCTTCATCAAAGCGCCATTCATTCGCGGAAGTATTCTTAGTTTCATTAATCATTAACGTAATCTGGGGAGAAAGGCAAGATTTCGAGATAAACAAGCCAGAGAAAGGGTGAAAAACAGTTTCACGGCAGAATGGACACTTAATTAACCTCTGCATTCCTGAAACGATTAAGTTCGATTTTAGAGTTATACTATTGAGAAGAATTAAGTATCTATAGCATAATTGTTTAACAAAAAACTATCATACTGACCTTTTCCTTCTGCTCAAAAAATGTGCTCGAAATGTTAGGTGGTAAGAACATTTAGCCGCCATCTTGTCTTCGATGTACTGTTTTACGAAAGGGAAGACTGTCCTCTCAAGGGCGACAGCGGGGCTACAATAAACTCACTTTCATCGTAAAAAATACCACGATACCTTAAAGAACACGTCTGAGGAACGTAGCACCCAATACACGTCATTCAGCTCCAGAAAACAGCCTGCAAATGCTGGTACTGAACGTAAACAACTCACAGAAAATGCCTCTATGGCACTTCAACAGCCCATATTGACGCATGCGCATACAAAATGCCCTCCTGTTAGAATGGATAACATATAGATCAATCTACAATATAACAAAATTTTTGGCGATCGGAGTAAATGTCACGTGGTTATAATGCCACGCCCCTTTGAGGTCTGAGTCGAAAATCTGCTGTTGCCGGCATTTTTTCGTGAAAATCTCTCGGCTACATATAGTGCGCATTAGTGCCTTGCGCTGAACAGAGTTTCACCAAAATCGCAAAGACTCAATTCGAGAAATTCAGCGGTTTCCAAATTTAGGTCATAATTTATGCGAAAATGATAAGCAAACTTTACACGATTATATCTAATAAACTATGAGACTTATCCCTTTATTTTGGGCAACGTTACAACAGATGGGTCCTTGCAAGTCAGCAAAACGCTTTAGGGCCTTGTAAATGCGCGCGATTTCGAGCAAAGCAAACAAATAGAAATTATAGTTTTCGCTCTTTGTTGACGTTTGTCAGCGTTTAAGAGTCCTTCTCACGAAAAAAGCATTTTCTTAAAAATTCGTAGCTTTTTTTCCTTCAAATTTTTTCGAAGGAGAATTAGTTTTGCCAATCTTTGTAGTGTTTTCCAGTGATTATGCAGCATATCCAGGTACCGAAAGACTGATTTTCCTTTGGTATGTAAGCATGGTCGTCAGGAATCGACTGCAGATAATGTATTGTTTGTGAATATCTTCCTTGTAAGTTCGAAGTGTTTATTCGAAGTTTGGCTATTCAATAAGGGTATGATCGACGATAAAATACCCATAATTGCCATGCGCTGGAGAATTTCAGGAAAAAATGTACCGACTTCTAACGCACAGCAAATCTGCATAGCATCGCTGCATCTGTGCCGTAGATTAGTTGCCCATATACTTATGAGGTTTTGAAGAATTAGGCTGCAAAACAGTCCGTATTTTTGCGTATTCAAGTACGCGCGAGGAGTCAAACAAAAGGTTTGGAGCGAGGCCTCTTTGCTGTCAAAAAGCCCGCGCTTTTCGCTACTAGTGGGCTATAACATACAGCCTAGTAGTAGCTCCACCAATCAGAACGCAGCATTGATAATAGACCACTAGTTGGATTTCACGAAATGGATAGGAGGCCGGTTCCACCTCAACTCTTGGGTTGGGTATCGTCTCTATGTTTCGTATCAACGTGAAGAGCAGTAGCTAACATTTTTGCCTATTTCAAGTGCTTTGTCGAAAATGAAATTTGAAGGCAATACGAATGAATGATGGGACACTTACAAGTACACTCGAAAGTTGAGAATAAAAGGATAAGTGTGGACTGTTCACAGTCCCCTAGCTATTTTTCCGTAAGATCGTCGTACCTTTTCCCAAATTTTTCCCAATTCCCAATTTTCCCGATTCCTTTTCCCAATTCCCCTTTGTCGAGATTGACCTCTCTGCGTTACTGGCGGCCATCGTGGTTTCAAATGTTCTAAATCTAGCCTGGCGATGAGTGTCAAATCTACTTACGGGGCGGGGGACGGTTTTGTACATGGAACTAAGATGGCCGACCGAAGCGGTAATTTAAGCGCTTGATCCTGACGGTCCCACGAAAAAATAGGGGACTGTGAACGGTCTAGGATAATTGCTTTTGAATTTCTATTTTATTACCTTGCGCGTTTTCAAAGACCTTAAAACTTTTAGGCCATATAAAACAATGATTAATATGTAGAACGGCGATTTTATTAAAGGACTTTAAGTGGCGGTCTTTTCAAAGTATTACTCAGGAGAGGTTACGAATTGTAAGGGAAACGCTACCAGTAGGTACTGAGTAATACATGATAACGTACGAGTTTATTATGAATTGGTACACCAGCTTTTACATTGTATTAGTAAATTTATTGAGTTCTTCACGACTTGCACCTCGCTAACCATACTCTTAATAATCGGCAGTTTCGTTCGTCTGTATCCACTTAATTGAATCACCCACAAGTGATTTTTTCTCAGAAAACAAACAATTGTTACTTCTAACAGAAATGAAAACACGAAAACCTTCAATTACTGCAAAGAGTGAATACAGTTAAGAATACAAGTGATAGTTCTTTATGATTGCACCACAAGAATTATTTGTAGTTGTACCGTACTCTCGATAAATCAAGGTAACACATTGTGCAGATAATCCTGGGACACTGTCAGCATCTCTACCCGTGTCTGTCCTGATTACTGTCTCTCAAGGAGCATCAACAAAAGGTCAATCTAACGTCCTTCGGCTCGAAGAAACTGATCTTCAGTGTAAGCGATCCATTACTCTGAGCACAAAACAAGTGTTATGGAGTAGTTGGTTTTAGTTTCGTTCGAAAATTTGTATTCTTAAGGTTTTTGATATGCATAGGGTATCCGAATGATTATTTTGTAGTTCGTGCTAGTTTCTTAATGTACAGTTCATAGTCCAAGGCTATTTAATGTTTAGCCCACACTGATAGGCCATGCTGAGTTTTCGAGTAGTATCGTCTATTTGAAGGATTTGTTAAACTTAATTGTAGTTCTTTGAAGTAGGCATGTTCGGGGATTACAGCTCAAGTTCCTATTTTGAATGCTTTTCCCTACCGAGCAGTTTTACCCGCTAGCATTTTTCACTGGTTCTTTGGTTCTCATCAATGACGACAGTGTAGCAGTTCTGTTCCCCGGACGTTAAGCCACAGGATATGCAATGGAAAATTCTCATGGTTTGCTAACCCAAACACGTATACAATTTGGTTATTTGATTCGCTGGTGATGGGCTTTTTAGTGGGAGTTGAAGTTGAAGACGTTCAGTACAAGTCAGAAGCAGTTTCTGAAAAAAGAGTAAAAAGCTGTGGAAGACTATAGAGTCTCGGCTTGGTACACCTCTCGTTAATTGGCTTAGCGAGGATTCCAGGCCCATACGACTCCCATCACAAGGCTAGAAACTCAAAAAAGACCATTGTCTTCTCCTTGAAATGTCTCTAAATCGTTACTGACCTTAAAGAATGCATCAGTGCACATATAATCTATACCTACTTTTAAAAGAGATTGCAAACTCTTACTGCGTGATAGTCAGTGAATAACATTCATCTAGTCCTCTACCTTTGCTACCTCCCTAATTAATTAATTAATTAATTAATTTTTTATATATCAACTTAATAGTCAACATCTTCCTATACGCTCTCCCTGTAAAAATAGAGAAGTAAATTGTACGAGCTCTGTAGTTAGTTTTGCAGATGAAACCGCCACTCATTGGTAACTGTACCGTGGTAGTGCCAAACTCGAAAGCTTTGCTCCTTTGGCTACTGTTATAAATTAAATCCGCGTTGCCGATAGCAACGCGTCCCTTGGATTCCCTAAGGGTATTTTGTATTCTAGCGCTATATTTAAAAATTCAGTTTTGAGCTAGCAGTGGACGTGAACAGAATAATTCAGATTTAGAAACGAAGACTCGGAGATTCACGCTAGTGTAAGTAGTTTTCGCTAAGAGTTTTTTTCATCCTTTGAGCGAATATCTTATCAGGATATTTGGGTTTTTCCTTTTTTCAGCGAATCATTCTGTAAATCACGCTTATCCTCGAAATGTAGAAGTGAAAGAGGCGAGCTGATTTCGACGCGTGAATGCTAATTAACTTGAACTGTAGAATACTGAGACACTGAGAATTAAATAATGAATCTTGAAGAACAACGAAAAGACGACAACAGGCCACTAAACACTTTTCCAATGTAATACACTCTTTTTTTTTTATAAGAATATATTTTATAAGAATATCGAGGCTGAGATTTGCGAAATATTAAGAATATTTTAAGAATAAAGCCGAGGCTGAGATTTTGAAAAGGATAGATATAATTTTGTGTGTTGAAACATCTGTAAATACAATACAATTTTATGTTTTTAACTTAACCGTGTAAAATTATATCTTTTCTCTGAACGGCGAAACTAGCCTACAAAACGAAAAAACCTGCACTAGCTATAGCAAAATGTTCAACGCTAATGACAGTTCGATGAACGGTACATGTAATACATATGTACAGTATTCAGTACAAAAGACATAAACTAAACCGCAAAAAAGTATTATGACAAATTCTTTCCTTTTTAAATAACAAAACCTTGGGAAAACAAAAACAGCACTAGGCTTTATTGCTGACTGCAACGAAAAGCGATGGAGCACGTGCACAATGTAACGCGATACAGATCTAGATACCAAACACTTGTAATTGATACCCCAATAAATTCTCAAACGGAAATGTTATAATCTATAATTTAAGAATAATACAAGAATATTTTCAGCCTAAAATCGGCAGAAAAATAAGAATATTCAGCCTGGGCCGGAAAAACAACATTCTTATAAAAAAAGAGTGTATTTATTGTAACATGCATACTACCTCTGATTTCCCTCTTTTTTTAGTTCCTATTATTATTGTATCTATGTACTTTTTTTTTTTGAACAAGTGTGAATAAACTGAACTTGAACTTTAGCAATTTATTAGATCGCGAGCGGTCGTCCTTCCTTCCTCCGAGCCACGCGAGGCGAGAGAAAAAGTAAAATTAGGCACGCCCCCCACGCGTGCTCTCGATCTACTATGACTCAAAAGAAACAAAAGAGACTGCTCGTAGTCTAGCAATTTATCGCCTTGTAACCGCAACAATGAAAGTGATGAAGACCCAGAGCGAGCCCAAGCCAAGCTATTTCCCCAAGGGGAGCTGTCGAAAAAGGTCTTGTTTACTTTGTTTCTTTTACATGGAAGTTCAAATTATATTAACAACGTACATTTGTGTAAGTATGTACAAAAATTTGTATGAAGTTATTGTGCATTATAAGTATTTTGTAATAAAGTTTTAAAAAAAATCTGTAACTTTCTTTTTATTGCTTTTCAGGCGTTGTAAGTGCCTTGGTCAGACTTTGTATTTCTTTGTATACCCAAGATTTAAGTGTTGAAAAGCAAGAAATAATAGCTAAAGATTTAGAATATCGGGTGTATGTGTACCAACAATACCATGACGTTTCGTCACCTGATAGTATAAGAGCCTTAACTGAATATTTGAAAGAGGCTTACAAAGTGGCCATACGGATGGTGGAATCTGGATCTTTGATGATAACAGTGCAATGCCCCACCCTAGAGAGTCTTGAAAGTCTGTGGAATGACTATGAATCCGGTCACCTTAATGACATCGCTGAGACATTCCTGGTGACTGATGAACTAAAGAGAAAGCTCGGGATGGACAATATCAGGTTGAAGACAACTATAGAAGAAGAAAACTACTTGATTTGTAAGATGGCTTTCATGGAAATTTCAGGTGAGCTGGGCGATCTTAAAGCCTAAACCTAATGGATAGCCAGTGGGTAAAATGTTTTGCCAGAACTTTTTTACTCGCGGCCCAGTAGGTTTGATAGAGCACTGAGTGCAATAATCCAGGTAAGTGTTACCAACTTGGCAGTTTACAATGATAACTCTGTAATTCTACTAGTCCGTAGAATGTCGTGTACCACCTTAGTAGTAAATAAACAAGGCATTCATAGACTAGTAGAGGTCATACAACAACAACAAATATGGACGAATGCACTTTCTTAGTTGGAAAGATTGGGATTGCCGTGGAGGATACCTCTTGAAGTACTCGTCACTCATGTTTACTTTACTTTATTGAATTCGCCACGGTAACTCAACACGGTGACAGGGGGATGAAACAGAACTAACTTCCCAATTGATATCAACCCTTTCATTACCCACCCAGCCCAAGAAAGGTTGCACCACACCACCGGGGTGTACGCCCCTACTTTTTACGAACAGCGGTGTGGGTTCTCTTACGTCCCACAAGAATCAGAGCATTGAAAGCGCTGTGAAAGGGGACCTTGCGAACATCATGTTCTAAGAAACAATTAAACATTCCACGAAGGTGTCCGCTTAAAGCAAGTTTTAATTGCCGTTATAACTTGTATACTGTTGTTGGTGACACCATCGTTTTTCATTACTAGGGGTAGCAACTATCAACAAATCTTCATCTCAAACAGTTGATTCAGGTCAGGTAGAAGATCCAAGGTTGGATGGAACAAAGTCAGATGTTGTGAAGGTAAGAATATTTTCTTTTAGGAACTTGCGAAACGGGCGATGTTATAAGGCAGTTATGTAACAAGGTGGTCAATTTGAGATCCAAACGTTGTTATCAAGAAATTATATATAGTGTTTGCGCCTTGTATTTTATAATCGTAACCTGAAAAAGCGCTGTTATGGATTACTGAAAACAAAATGGTGAATAGGGAGAGATGCTAGTTAGTTTTTAGGAATTGTACCAAACAAATACAGTCAAACCCCGGCATAATACGGACACTGAGGAGTCCATAGAAAGTGTCCGTGTTAACGGGATGTCCGTATTAAGCGAGTTGAATAAGAGAAAATGAAAGGGCTTTCTTTCCCCAGGGATAAAGCAAACTGTCCTTAATAACGAGGTGCCTGTATTAAGCGGGTGTCCATAAAGCGGGGTTTGACTGTACTAAAAAGAACACATTTAATTTATTACTTTTATTTATTTATTTATTTATTTATTCGTTCACTCATTTATTTATTTTTATCATCCTAGGATAAGAAGCAGGTCTTGACACCTATGGCCAGAGCTGAGAAGGCTAAAGTAAGCTCAGTGGGAAGTTAATTAAGATACATTTTGTAGTGTGCGCGCTTTGTGTATTTCAAGAAAGCAAAAAAGTTTGAAAAACGTCTCTCGATGCTACATTGTTAACGACTTGCACATATATCAACCTCAGCAGAGCGCAGCTTTATTATGAGTTGCAACATTGTTATTTAACTGTACACAATTGCGACCCCTTTTACAGTGGGTCGCCCTGGAGGATTTTTTTCTCAGTAGTGAGACAGTGTGTCATTACCTTCAGTATTCATATAGATGCAGTTAGTAAAGTTTAATTTTTGGAACGAAGAGGGATTAAAATTAAATCCAAGGTGAGGTTTTATAACCGAGTGTAAGGTTGGTAGACTGATGGATGTGGCTTTTATCAACAGGATTGTGCAATAGTTTTACAATTACATAAAAGGATGTTTTTTAAATAGGCATCGAGAGGCCCTCTACACAAGGCTGCTATCAGTGGGCAATATGAGACGATCAAAATGCTTCTTGAAAGTGGCGAAGACGTGGATCGAAGAGATCAGGTTTTAGCCCTCTCCACAGTTTATGTAAATTGAATGTTTAGCTGGACCTCTTGCCTTCGCTTCGCTCTTGGATTCTTGAATTCCTTTCTTGTCCTGGCTGTGACAGATTGACTTCCGCGCGAGACGTTTCGAGTCAATGAAGAGGGGAATAACGAGAGCCTGAAAGAAAGGCTTTGAGTATTACATGCCTTGCGTTTCCAATAATATTTTGATTGGTCGGTAATGACAGGCTCCATTATTGTGACAGACAATAGGACAGGACCATCGCAAATTATTATATTTTGGCTCAGCTTCTGAAGAACAAAGTTGAACGGCTATATCTTTGAAAACCCTGCATTTGTTGACAGTTTCAGCATATTTGGATTATCTTTCATTCTCTGTATATCTTTAAAACAAGCTCAAACACAGTTCCCCTCGAAGGGTTTTAACTAAAATGGGGAGTGAACGCATGTGACAGAGAAATGGAACCAAGCATTGTTTCCATATTTCATTGTGCCGTTCCTAGTGCTGTTCCTGTGTCCCCCGTTTCAGTACAATCGAACTAGAAGACTTCGGACAACTTAGTTTTTTTCGTGGTGCGTTGTGCGATAATACAACGTGCATCCCACTTTTTAAGGCCATGTTCTTTGGTCGGGTTTTTTGTCTTTGTGGTAATTGTTTTACTTTGCTGTTGTTGTTGTTGTTTAGTTATTTATTTACATACTTTATGGGAAAGAGCACCCTAAATGAGATATAAGTATGACAGGTACATATGATAAGAAAGTAATAAAATATTAGTTTTTTGTTAAAGTAAAACAAAAAAAGAGCTAGATATTGGAGTTTGCAATGTTTTTACTTTTGAATTTGAATTGTTTGAGCCCAAAAGTCTTGTCAAAAGTACATTGAAAGAGATCGCGCGGGTGATTCTAGCCCTAAAAAGGGCTGCGGTTAACGAACATTCCGACAACCACTGCAGTATTCGAAAAAAACTCTTGAGATGATTTCCACATCGCAAGATGGCTCTGATGATGACTTCTATACAAAATGTTAGCGGAAACATCAGTTATGCCCCCAACAGTTTGACTCACCCAGACAATTACATTCAATCCACTTTATTAATTTTCAATTTTATTTTGACCCACGAAGGCCGATTACTTAGCCACTCTTTCAACTTTATCTAACTGCGTTTTTCCTTTTTTGGTAGTTTTCTTTGACTCCTCTTCATCTTGCCTGTTGGTATGGACAGGAATCTGTTGTCAAACTGTTGTTAGAACACGGTGCGAACGTCAACGCTGAAGACAGGGTGAGATAGGGAACGTTTTCTTCCTTTTTTTTTTACATTGGATCAATAAGTTGCTTGAGAGGGTTGGCGCGAAGGAAGTTGTTGTGTTTGTTAGTATTTTTCACATAAGAATCTAGTAGTAACTGCGTAATAACCTTTAAAAGGCGGTATTTTTGCCTTAGCGAACTCGCTGTTATAATTAACATGGCACAAGTATATACAAAGGCAATTTGTTAATTAAGTTTTCAACGTATTACTACTGTTAATTGTTTTTATTTGATATTCTCGAAGAAATTGGAGCGGCAGCAAAGAAGTACAAAATAAGAATTAAAAAAATAACTTGAACTTAAAAACAATTACCCTTTGGATTTTTTTCATCTTTGCCTTTTTTAATACTTGTATCTTCATGAGTTACAAAATGTTTAAAAGAAAAAATATTTTTACATTAGTGTTGAAAATGTTTGACTGTCTTTTTTTTCTTTTGTTTATAATAGAACACGTTTCTTTGCGCGGGATCCTCTACTCCCACCTTTATTATTCAAACAAGCCTTTACGTTTCTTTATAATTCATTTTACTTCTCTATCGCGTCCATACGTTGAAAATGCATGATCTCCGGTGTAATCTTTAATGGTGATTGCGCTTGAATTGCAGTACACTTGTGACTGAAGAACTGCGTATTATTTATGCTATTTCTAATTAACAATTCCTTTCCTTTCCATTTTCTAGTTTTAATACAAACAACAAAAAAAACAAACAACGTAAAAAGGCTTAGTTCCAGCAAGCTAACTTAATGGCTTTTATTTTTTTCTTTTTTAATGATTTATTGGACGTTAGATCTTGTCACAGAACAATTGATTAATTAAGCCAATGCTAAAACTCTATGTTTGGAGATGAGAGTAGAAGCGAAATGTAGAGAATTTGTGATTTTTCTCGTTAGCTCAACTCTACAATTTTTGCAATTGATTGCACTTTGTACTGTACTTCCTTCTCTACACATACCGGTTGTTAGCATGTTTCCATGGTAAAATAGCAAATGGTAAGTAAAGGGTTTTACTCTGCTTATTATGTTTTTAGTTTCAACGTACACCTCTGCAAAAAGCTGAACGTCAAAACCACCACTCCATAGTGCCGTTGTTGCAGAAGAATGATGCCAGGCCAAGTCTTCATCAACCAGTAAGATATCAGATTGTGTCTTTATTCCTGTTTCCTTTTTGCGAAATCTTCTTTCAGAAGACTTTTTTATGTATTTACTAACAATGTTGAACGTTATACATTATCGGAAGACCGTTTTCCTCTCTTGTATGTTAGGCACCTTACATTTTTTCTTGTCTTCACTAACATTAATTGTTGCTTCCATTGGTTGGGAGGGGCCCAGAATTTTTTGGTTTCAAAACAATACCCCATTTGAGGACTCAAAAATTCTCTCAACAATTTTGTCACTGATTGTTACTATTGTCATGCTTATGTTAAACACATTGCTTCTTTTGATCCTGTGTAATCTTTTTTTCAATGCACAAAAAAGGGACCGTTCCGTGTGTCTGTGTGTGCGGGGCTGGGGGTGGTTTGGGGCTGTTGGCATTTGACACGGGTGCCATTTGGGACTTTAAAGTGTGGCGTCAGGCGAAAAAGATTGGGTGTGAAAGGGCGTAATTTAATAAATTCCTTCAAGGGTTGCGGGTCACTGCTCCACCATACAATACATTTGCGCGCCATCATATTTAAAAACAACATGTTCGTCCTCACTTGGTGTACCATCCAATACAGAGTTCGAAATTTGAGAACCGATTCTCAAGGAGCACTATATATATCCACTGGATAAATTACTATCCATTAGGAAAACCAATTGCGCTATCTAGTAGATAGAGATTTATCATCTGTGGTCTATTGTCCTCCTTTTGGCTTAAGAAGTTTTTTAGTGTTTTTTAGATATACAGGCAACGGCGAACTAGAGTTAAAACAAGTCAAAACTTCTCAAAAGCTAACTTCAATTGGAAACCAACAAAAAGCGACCTAAAATACTTACTTGCTCGATGAGTTTCCTCTACTGCGAGAATGACATTGACACCTTTTGAATAACTGGGGAAAGATGGGTCAACTACGTCGCGATGTTATTGGTCGTCTGTCAGTTAAGCCGTGATGTTATTGGCTATGAAGACTCGTAATGTCATTGGTGCGTTTCGATCCGTCTATGATCCCAGTTAAACGGTCGTTTATTGTTAGTCATTGTCGAATGTCCAGTCATTTTCGCGTAGTTAGTTTTGCTTGAGTCCGTCAATAAGTCATTTGTACGGTGCTGGTAACTGTTGACTACGGTTCATTGGCGTTTGTTCTAAGTTAGTAAACCAGCTTTCTAAAGTAAGACGTTGATAGTAGTCTGTAGAATAGGTAATATATGCCGTAGAGTCACAGTCGATTTGATGTGTCTACTGTAAATGGTGTTCAGCAATCTGATTGTTGACGTCACCATTTCTTGTCGCTCGTTTGTATTTAGTCAGTCGCGTGCTAAGGTTTCTGCCGGTTTCATCAATGTAAGTGGCCTGCCGTCCCAACATTTGATGTTGTATACTGCTTCCTGTCTGTCCTCCGGTTTGTCGTTGTCCTTGACATTAGTAAGAAGTCGTCGTTAAGTGCCTTTCGGTTTGTGTGCAGCACGTTTCTTGTAAGGTTGTACCATGCGTGCTAGAGATTCACAGGTGCCTGTGATGTGCGGTATAATCGCTGTCGTAACAGGGCCAGAGTTGACGCTGGTCTGAGTGTTGGAGTTAACGTTACTGTGGGTGTTTCGTCTAACGAAGACCGCATTGTAGTTGTTCTTACTAAAAACGTTCTTTAGGTAGTCAGTCTCTTCTTGCAGGCTGTCAGGCGAGTCGCAAACTATTTGCGCTCGTCTCGTCAAAGTCCGTACAGTTGTAGCCTTGCGAGTGGTCGGGTTGTACAATGACTGGTTGGTATGTGTCGGTTTTCTGTAAATTGTCGTTCATAGTCTGTTGTTGTTGTGAATGACCAAACAGTCTGGAAAAGGTATATTAGCATTTTCCTCGATCTCCTACAAGACGAGACTGACTATCTAAACAACGTCCAACATACTTAGCTGTCCAGCTACATGTCTCATTTACGTTTTACTTAAAAAAGCGATTTCCATGTCTCAACTACCCAAAGCGAAGACTATAGCGAGATAAATAAATAGAATGGCACTTTCTGTTGTTTTTCCCAGCTGACACTTCATTGTCATTGATAGCAAAACTGAACAAAAAAGCGCTTAAGAATGTAGTGACTTTAAAATTTTCCCTCAATTTTGTTGTAACGCATGTGCTATTAACTATATACCGTGACATGGCTGTTCCGGCGTGGTGATTAAACTCTGAGAAGTGTGAATGCATAATCACAGAATACTTTTCTTTTTCTTGGTATTTAGAGATATTATAGTTGCGAATAAAGCTGCCAAACCTCCATTGTCACCCCTGTATCTGTAACGCAATGACATTTGATACGCAGTGGCGTTATGTAATCGGTATACCGCGTGACTTATTTTTCAACACTGCTGTAAAAGTAAAACCGTTCAGTTTTTTTTCATCTACTACAGTGAAAATAAGATAGTTATTAACGTCCGTTAGAGCTAGAGAGCAGAAAAAGTTGTGTGCTATGTTAGTTTCTATTTTCTGACGGTCTACCATCAATCACGGTCTACCATTCTGCAACAGTAAGAAATATGATAGTAGACCGTTGACGCACTTCAATTCCTGACGTTGCTATGCTGGAAAATTACTATTCTTGGGGACAGTGACTTCTTTTTTGCAAAGAAATACATTTTGTTACCAAGTATACAATACAAGGCAACGTTATATGCGAGCTCTCGCGGCTATGTTACTGAAATACGCGCGTGAATTTTCACGTTATCTGATCACTAGCCACACTCGGGCTTCAAAATCGAAACAAACTTGTAAGACAACCAAAACGTAAACATAAATCCAAACTTGTGTTAAGCAAAATAAAGTCCACAACAGCTACTTTTTAGCGTAACTTTTCTTTCCTGTAAATGGCAGGCGATAAAAGAGGAACCATTTCCACGTACTTATCAGAAACAACAACAAAAAGCTATCTCCTTGATCTAGCGGGGCATCTTAGGTTACTTTCCTTTCATAAATAAACGTCTTTTACCCGAGTTCGAAGAAAATATATTATTTTTCGCATCTTTGTAGCGTGTTAGGACAAAAAACCCTTTTCGTTGCAGCTTACTCAAGATGGTGTGGCATCTTTTGCCACGCGCTCCCTTTAAAAGCCCAATTTCGAGCAAATTACCACATAAACAAAAGTGGAAAAAACTGCCGTTTTTGTCTCGGCATTTTAAAACACGCAAACCTAGGGGAATGAAATGCTATTTTTTATAACCACCTCCTTAGGTGTAAAACGTGCACCACGTTTCACCCTGTTTAATAATCGGGCACCACGGCTATAGAGGTATGAAGGACTCAGACAACCAGTTGCAAAATTTTGAGAGACACTCTCACGAAAAAAACAACCTGTCTTGCTTCAAATCGCTGCTACTCACAGGTCTGTGAGATAAAATAGTGACCCCCCTCCCCCATTCAAAGTTGTTCCTCCAAGTTTTGGGCATGGTCTTGTATTGCTAGCAACTTTGAAAAGGGGTGGAGGGGGCGTTACGGGCACAAGATCATGGACAGGCCATTTAAGCCAAAATACGGTACAGTGTCTCAAGTACTTTTGCAACTGGTTGTAGCTCCCCAGTATCAACATCTTTGCTGTATGATGCTTCAAGAAATTCAGTTGTACTTTTACTCATAGTCGTCACTATCAGCAGCTGCGCTATAACCAAGATGGTCTCCCTTTGGGCGTAGGAGCTTAAGCTTTTCTAGTTAAAGCGCTGGTCAATAGCGCTGACCCTCGTAATAGAACCTTCTTCTCCTCTAAAATTATCTTTGTTAATAAGGGATAGGTTGGGCACCAACCTCTAGTCTGAGCGGAGTACATCGCTTTCTTTGAAGCGTTGGCTAACCAACCAGGCCTTGACTCTTGTGGACAACGTTAGCGTTGAAAAGATTGAAGCTCTGATCAGTGTGCATGTTTGTGAGCGTTTCTTTTGTCAGATTTGCCAGGTGTTGTTCACTGACAGCAGCCACCTTTGTCCCCTAACGGGTCTTAGATGATCGGTGTGAGAATAAAGCTATTTTCCAAGGTGCAAGCCAATGAAAAAGTAAATCTTCCATTTGGGCCTTGCAACCAATTATCTTTCAACGCGCCATCGGGCTGTAATCGAGGTGTAATCAACCCAAGCAAAAAAGTGGTAGAGCCTCTTCCCCTCCGCTGTCTCTGAATAGAATCTCGGGAAATGTCTGCACTTTTTGGGCTTCTGTCATATGGTTTAATTTTATCTGGCTGGAGAACTGATACGTTTGTGAAAAAAAACTCTTGCAATTGGTTGAAACTGGTATTAATTGTCCTTCTATGTTTCTAGAAGTTAAAAAGGCGACTGGCTTGGACAATCTATCATCCAAGTTTCTCAAAATAGCGGCCGATATTCTTGCTCCATCCCTTATCTATATGTTCAGTCAGCCAATCTCTTCTGGGATTGTGCCAATTGAATGGAAACTAGCTTGAGTTACACCAGCTTTTAAAAGGGGCGCGAGAAAGGATGTTAATAACTACCGACCGATCTTATCCAAGATTTTTGAAAGAATAATATACACTCAATTCTATAAGTATCTTAAGGACAATGATCTTTTAGCTAACTGTCAATCCGGCTTTAGATAACTCCATAGCATACTCACGGCCTTGCTTGAGGCCACAAACAGTTAGTCTCTTAACATAGATAACGACTTTATCAATGGTGTAATTTTTATAGATGTAAAGAAAGCTTTCGACTCAATAGACCACAAGATTCTACTACGTAAGTTAGCTAGCCATGAAGTTGATCATAAGGCCCTTAGGTGGTTTGACTCTTATCTTAGTGATCGCCAACAAAAGTGCCTAGTTAATGGTGAGCTATCTGGAGCGCGGGCGGTTACCTGTGGCGTCCCTCAGGGTAGCCTTACTGGGCCTCTTCTTTTTCTGATATACAGCTATTTCAAAAAACGTTGTCGGAAGAAAAGCAAAAAGCCTTTAAGCCAAGACCGAAAGGTAAAATGGGATTTTTATAATGACCTGGTACAGGTCCTATAGGAGTTTTGCGGCCACTCAAGTATGTCCTTGAGAACGGTATGGAACGTCTTTCTGTGAGTGAGAGTATTTCTAAACGTTGGACAGCTCTTAAAACAGAGCTGGTTGGAGGGCCTTCAAACAGTAGGGAGCGTAACCAACTACATTGGCGACAAAAGAGACAGTGAACAACAATAGGTTTAAATTAGCAAAACAACAACTTAATTTGCACGTGCATCACGCTTTTTTTCCGTGGCCGTTGTTGCCTGACTACGGCTTCAAATGTCTCATGTTTTATAGGGGCAGTGAACAGCAGACCACAATTTTCTTTTCTTTTACTAGTCCTTTAGAATTCATTTCCAGAGAAATCGCCATCATTTAAAGAATTGAACGAGGTGGGATAAAGGCGATGTGGTTGTCCATACTTTCTCACATGCTGGTGTAGTGCAAAATATTACCTGCAGTAGACTTTGGCGAGCTTTAATTAATTCTTGAGTAGGAACCATTATTCCGAAAAAAGTTTGTTTATAATATTTTTTTCGCCCACTTCGTTACTACGTTATACAGGGTTTGAACCAGGCCGCGCCATTGCGCCAATCCCGCACTGCAATTGGAATTGTCCCTTTAAAAAAAGGCCAAGGGGACAATTTGTCCCCTTCAAAATTTAGGGAAAAAACTCGAAAGGAAGCACACACGAAGAGATTTATTTCAGTACAGAAATTGCAAGCCGAAACAGAACGTGGAAAATATATTTTATCACACCTATAAAGTTCATTCCAAAGTTACGTTTCAGTCACGCTCTTCTGCTATTTTGTCGGAAATCTAAGACAGGGTTTCTGATTCTTCGCGCGGTCGCGGAGCCGCGAAGTTCACAAAAACACGAAAAATACCGCGAAATTCGGTAGAAATCTTATCAAATACATGTCTGTACAACATCTTTGAAACTTATTTCAGCTATAGGGGCTATTTACTTGCCGTAAACTTGCAAATTTATCTCGGAACTTCGTCACTGAAACGTGCAAACAGATTATGTTGCGAAAAACTGGGCACTAGCCATGATATTAAAGGCTTTGCCATTGGTTCATTTCTGGAGCGTATTGTTGTTGAAAGAGCAAATGATGACCTCTGTTAGAAAAACGTTAAAAAGGCTGGTCTGATCAGCGCAAAACCGATCGATTTCTAGCTTAATTTGCCTTGAAAATAACCACAAAATCGGCCGTTTTTTACCGATTGCTTTTCGGTGAAGTTTGCCCCGAAAACTCCCGCGAAATCGGCCGATTTTTCCGCGAATTTGTCCCTAAAAATCCCGCAAAATTTGACTTTTTGTTGCGAGACCTATCAGAAGCCCTGCTAAGAAGACAAACCTCTTTGCATCAGCAGAAGGGTGTACAAATTTCTGTCCCCCTAAAAATGAAAATGTCCCCCAAAATTTTTGCCAAGGGGACAAATTGTCCCCCAGTGATCAAATCCTAGCTCAAACCCTGCCGTTATATGCAAATTGGTTAAAGTAAAATTTAAGGTGGCCCAAAGCTATTTATATGCGCGTTGGTTATGTTTTTGAATCGCGTTTTTCGGCAGGAATTATTTAACCGATTTCCATGATTTTTGGCATTCTTAATAAAGAATGGTTGAACTTTAAGAAATGCCATTTATTGTCTTGTAGATATAAAAACGTTTGAGATATCGGCATATGTTTAAAACCGCATTTTAGACAGATTTTTCTCTAACTTCGGGAAAGTTAAGCCATAGAGCTCTCTAGTTTTATATCTACAGGTTTGAAGTCAATCGTGACCGTAAAACTCGCTGCGCAAATAGCTGGTCAAATTTAACCTTAAATTGTAACGCTTACACATTTTTGAAAGTTGACGCACGAATAGAGGAAAACGGCAGGCGGACTATCTCCTATCTGCAAGGATATTTTTGCCCAAAGCTTCAGTTGCAAGAAACTGAGTAATCAGAAACCTACGGCGAATACAGTTCGCAAACAAGAAGAACAACTGTATGCTAAATGTTGTCCTCTATTGGCGTGTCAACTTTCACAAGTGTGTTAGCGTTGGATTTTAAGGTTAAATTTGACCAGCTAGCTATTTGTGCAGCGAGCTCTACGGTCACGATTGACTTCAAACTTGCAGATATAAAACTAGAGAGCTCTGAGGCTTATTTGCCGAAGTTAGAGAAACATTTGTCTTAGGGTTTGGAAATTATTGCCATCTTTTGTAAAAATGTGGTTTTAAACATATGCCGAAATCTCAAACGTTTTTACACCTATAGGAAAATAAATAGCATTTTCTTAAAGTTCGACCATTCTTTATTAAGGATGCCAAAAATCATAGAAATTGGTTAAATCATTCCTGCCGAAAAACCCGATTCAAAAACATAACCAACGCGCAATTAAATAGGTTCGGGCCACCTTAATGTTATTTTTCCTTGCTAATTAGCTGAACAAAATTGCTTTCAAAGATGGAATTAAGCAAGAAGGCACTTCGACGGAAACGTAGTTTTACCTTGTGCTTTTTTAAAAACTAAAATGATAAGTATAGTTCGGTATAAATGACGAATAAAAATCAGGGAACAGTTTAGTGGAGTGATTGTTTGGCAGCAAAAGACGGATTTGAAACAACCCACATTACCTTGCGGTCTTGGCTTGAAAACTTTTTCCTTTTCTTCCGCCTTTTTTTTTTTTTTGAAGTTGCTGTATATTAAAGACTTGCATAATTGCCTGACCACGGCCATACCGCGGATGTACGCCTGATGATACCAGCTTGAAGGTACAATTACAATTCACATTGACAAATATTTGTCATGGTGCAAACATGTCAATGAGATGGCTAGAACTATTTTCTCTGGTATAGGTGCACTTAAAAGGCTTATGTAATATATCTGCGTAGATACAGCTAAAGTGCTGTATAGAGCTCTTATCGAACCACATTTCGACTGTTGCTGCCTTGTGTGGGACGGTGTGAACAACGAATTAGCCAATAAATTACACAAACTTCAAAATCGCGCCATTGGGATAATCACAAAGTCCGATCACCGCTATAATGCTACCTCCCTCCGCAGAAAATTTTGGATGGGGTAACCTCTATACCGGAAAGAAAAAAAGAGAAAGCTAAATTAATGTTTAAAATCTTAAATAAACTAACCCCGGAGTACTTACAAGATCTTTTCAAGCCATTCACCTCGGAATACGATCTTAGAGGCAAAGCAAATAAACGTGCACAACGTACACCTCTGCAAAAAGCTGAACGTCAAGAACACCATTCCATAGTACAGTTACTGTCGAAGAATAATCCTACGCCAAGTCTTCTTCAACCAGTAAGATATCAAACTGCATGTCCCCAAATCCTTCTTGCCAACCTTGTCTTTGAAATGAAAGTCGCTTACATTTGTTATATTCTTTGTCGATAATGTTGATCGTTACAGTAGGACCTATACATTGCCGTATGAGCTTTTATCCTAGCTTATATCGCGAAGACCTTATATTGGTTCTTCTCTACACGACCATCCGAAGATCACAGTACAGTGAATCCTGTATTAAACGGACACGATATTAAGCGGATGAATGGTTCAATTTTTCCCTCAAACGTTTCGTCTCATATTTACTGTGAGGTTTATACTGTTAAACGAATCCATTGATAGCGGACACCCGCAAAGGTCGCGTGTGTGTCCAACACAGTTTTCATCATACATGATATTTCTTGGTTATTAATGTCCATGGTTCTGGCATTGCGTCTTATACACGTGCACTCTCTGAATGGTTTTGGACACACTAGGGATGTGGTTTAATTTGCTGCAATCGCATGAAGGGAAGAAAACTTCATTACTGTTTGGGAAGTGCATCTCAACTTAACAAGCAAGTCCTTACCCCCATCGTTATATTAAGGGCAAGACAGTTACATCCCCCCACCTGCAATTGGTTTTTTGCTGTGTTGCAGGATTTGCCAAAAGTTAAACTGAAATGTATTATATAGCCTGGGATTAGCTTTTCAATGCAATCGAGATATCATGGGGTGTGACTGGCGCTGTGGGGACCCAGTAGTTTCATTCAAATAACTCCTCATTAATAGCCACCATCTTAATTCTGTTCTCCAAAATCACCTGAAACATTTGTTCACAATGATTTGTTCAACATTGTTTAGAAGGGTGGAGGAGGAATCCAGAAAGTCTTGTTTTCAAAACCTTTCCCCATCTGTCAGCTAAAAATTCTAACATCAATTTTGTGGCCAGTTGGAGCTATTTTCAATCTTCATACTTTTAGTCTTAAATCAGTATCATTACTGTCAAACTCGGAAAAGCTAGAGAATTAGGAATATTTTGGAAATGTTCATTGTCTTATGATCAATCCCATTAAGGATTAGTTAGCGAGCTTCAAACCGCAAAATAATTACCGTTGCTACATGCTGCTTACTTCTCCCTCACTTCGTTGGCTTCTATCCCCTTGACACAATAACATTCCAGAAATAATTTTGGTGTTGATAGTTTTGCAGGAACAACAATAACATTTTAAAGCGCGAGTTTCTATATAAATATTAGCGCGTTTGCTGTTTCTGAATTAGTAATAATTTTAAACAAGATGTATATTGTAACCATAATAGCCAACCACCACATTTTGTGTAAAATGTGTCTATTTGCATCAAGAGTATAGTAAAGCCTGGTTAATCTATTATCTGCAATAAGAATAATGGGAAAGTAGTGCTAAATGAATTTCCTCTTTTTAATTTGCCTTTAAATACATGATCATTCTTGTCATAGGTTAGTCTAAAGAAACTCTCAAGAAAAGCTTTCTTGCAAGTGGATAAACAATCTGGATTTAATCTGCTCCAGGCGGCTGTCTTAGAGGGAAAATACGACATTGTTCTAAAAGCTAATGGCCTTCTTGAGAATTTTTTAGAAGAGATGGAACATAGAAAAACGGGAAATAACGCCAAAGGATTTCCAGGGAAAACTGCGGTTGACATCTTATCATTTGTGTTGCGAACAAAATCAAGTCATTATAGTATCGAAAGATTTTATAAAAATTGGGCTCAGAACAACAGTAGACTGAATGAGCTGCAGTGGGGTACATGCAATGACGATGTGGAACAGGCGGTGGAGTTTGTATTAAGTGACGGTGTAGATATTAATGCCCGAGCGTCAGACAATGATTACACAGCTTTGTTGTGGGCGAGTTGTTCATCCTCAAGTCAGTTCATTGAGACCCTCATTGATCTAGGGGCCGACGTTAATGCCCAAAGGAAAGATGACAAAGTTACACCTTTAATATTAGCAATTGAATGGAACAACTACATGGCAGCGTGCTTGCCTTTAAGGCATGGAGCTGATGTAGATGTCCAGGGTGGTGATGGGTTCACACCACTGCACTTTGCAGTCAGTAAAGGTCACGAAAACCTCTGTAGGTTGTTACTTGAACACAACGCGGATGTAAATATTCGAGATAAAGATGGAGATACTCCCTTGCACCTGTGTGTCAGAGAGGGTAACGAAAACCTCTGTAGATTGTTACTTGAACACAACGCGAATGTACATTTTGGAGATAAAGATGGAGATACACCCTTGCACTGGTGTGCCAGAGAGGGTAATGAAAGCCTCTGTAGACTGTTGCTTGAACACAACGCGAATGTAAATTTTGGCGATAAACATGGAGATAGACCCTTGCACCTGTGTGTCAGAAAGGGTAACGAAAACCTCTGTAGATTGTTACTTGAACACAACGCGAATGTCAGTTTTCGAGATAAACATGGAGATAGACCCTTGCACCTGTGTGTCAGAAAGGGTAACGAAAACCTCTGTAGATTGTTACTTGAACACAACGCGAATGTCAATTTTCGAGATAAACATGGAGATACACCCTTGCACCTGTGTGTCAGGAAGGGTAACGAAAACCTCTGTAGATTGTTACTTGAACACAACGCGAATGTAAATTCTTTTGATAAAGATGGAGATACACCCTTGCACCTGTGTGTCAGAGAGGGTAACGAAAACCTCTGTAGATTGTTACTTGAACACAACGCGAATGTCAATTTTCGAGATAAACATGGAGATACACCCTTGCACCTGTGTGTCAGGAAGGGTAACGAAAACCTCTGTAGATTGTTACTTGAACACAACGCGAATGTAAATTCTTTTGATAAAGATGGAGATACACCCTTGCACCTGTGTGTCAGAGAGGGTAACGAAAACCTCTGTAGATTGTTACTTGAACACAACGCGAATGTAAATTTTTTTTATAAACATGGAGATAGACCCTTGCACCTGTGTGTCAGAAAGGGTAACGAAAACCTCTGTAGATTGTTACTTGAACACAACGCGAATGTAAATTTTCGAGATAAACATGGAGATACACCCTTGCACCTGTGTGTCAGGAAGGGTAACGAAAACCTCTGTAGATTGTTACTTGAACACAACGCGAATGTAAATTCTTTTGATAAAGATGGAGATACACCCTTGCAACTGTGTGTCAGAGAGGGTAACGAAAACCTCTCTAGATTGTTGCTTGAACACAACGCGATGCAGCGACATCCTAAGTTTGAACTGATTTCTGCGCAAAAAGCTATCGAGACAAGATATACAACAGGTGTCACTTCCGTTCAAGGTGCAGTAAAACTCAAGTCTAATCTCCAAAGGGAGAAAACACTGGGGCAAGACCCCTCGTATACGCATACAACATTGGAAACAGAGGAACTGTGGGAAACCCCCAAAGGAACAAAGGAATTAGAGAACCGGAAGCTAAACAAGTGAAGACACTGGCAGTGAGACACCCCAAATCAAAGGCGACTACATCCTCAAGAACAAATAAATGAGTAATGGCTTAACTATTAAGATTTTTTTCAGAGTTGTGTTTTTGAGAAAAGACCCGGGTGTTAAGTCCATAAAAGATAAGAGTTTACTCTTATTGAGCTAACGGTAAACTAGTTTGTACAAAATTAATACCAAAAATGAGGAGAGTAACTATAATCCTCAACGTTAATTTCAAAATTGTAAAATCGACGCTGTTACAGGTGCCGTTTAGCCGACGTTTTGGCAATGCTGCCTTCCTCAGGGTACAAAAGTTCGTAATAGGGCACGTGAGCTACGTAATTTAACGAACTTTTTAATGATGTATATTCGTTTTGTACCCCGAAGAAGGCAGCATTGCCGAAACGTCGGTTAAAACTCTTGTAACAGAGGACGTACTTTGAATTTAAAATGTGTAGTGTAGATCGGTTTTAAGAACAGTCAACTCCCCTTATATATCGGACACTATCGGGAACTCTGCTTAGTCACTTTCGGCCTTATCATTGAGAGTCTGTAATAACGGGAGTTTATTTTAGTCAGACATCTGTAATTTATTTTTGCATGGGATTTAGTTGCTCTCCGTATTATCGGGGTGTCTGTTATTGCGGGAGTCCACAAGGCTAGAGTTGACTTATAAGAATTTTTGAAAGTAATTACCGTAAAATTTTAAAGTTATAACATAGCTGGAATATTCGCCTAACTGATCATATTGTTATTCGATAGCGTCAGTGTGTTTCATATTCCAGTTGAGCACGCTGGTGACGTCAACAAACTGCCACTTCGAGTTCTTATAAGCTTAGTAATCCTCCCAAGTGCATCGAAGCCTCAATAGCACACGATAAAGCGTTTATAATTAAGATCTTGTCTTAGATATCTCAGATGATCGCGTCATTGAGAGGTGAAACTAAGCCGTTAGCCTTGTCTTCTTCATCCTTTCTTATCAATTGGAAGGGACAACGTAAAAGAACCCAAATTGGTATTCGAAAAGAGTAGAAAAAGAAGACCCCACCAGTGGTGTGGTCTATCTCTCATGTAGCCTGTGTACAGACCCCCCTCCCCTCAGGAAAAATCGGATTTTTCCTGAGGGAAGGTGGAGTCTGTCGTGAGGGTAGGGAACTGTTAGGGGCTCTCAGTAATTGGGGTCATGCTGTTGAAACATAGTTAGTTACTAACTATGGTTGACGTGACTCCGCCAAAATTGTCTAATCTAAATAAATGAATAAACATGTGAATTACACGTGGTTCATTATTTAACAATTAATGAATGAGGCTGAGTATCTTATGAAGAATTATGGAGATCGAGGAGGGTGTTATCCGTCAAGGCCGTCGGCCGAGGCGGATAACACCCTCCGAGATCTCCATAATTCTTCATATGATACGAAAGCCGAATTGAATAAATGTTTTATTATTCGTTTAAAATAATTCCTAATTGAAAAACATGGCTAAAACTTACTTACCTCCATCGATCCTCGCCTAGTTCTTACTCTTGAAACGAGTGAAATGTCCGCCATTTTTTGTTTTCACAACCAAAACAACTTAACCTCGTCCCCAGGTCTTCTCGGTTAACGGTTTAGTAACCTGCAAGAACGCTTCATTTTTGACGTCATTTCCTCGTTAAACACAAAATTCTTCCAAATTTGGTCATCAGTAACTGATTGTGGTGAATTATGCGAGTGCTTTTAGCCAATCAGAATCGGGGAAATATTTTGAATGAATAATAAATAATGTTATGGCGGCACTATTTTATGAACTTCGTGTTAGAAAAAATACCGATAAGATCATTTTTATGCCGTCAAAATCATCTTGCCCGTTAATTAGACATCGAACTAAAAATTATTGCTATTTTTACTAGATTCGTTCTGGGTTTGGCAGCTTTTTAATAACCGGGGGCTATTTGATTGTAACAAGCTATTGATTTTCGGGGTTTATAATGACTTTTCCAAGTGCTCCAAGAGGAAAGCAAATCCGTAAACCACCGACGACTTCTACCTTCACGTAGTCAAACATCTAAGGCGCTTTTTTCAAAAAGTTTTATTTGCGGGGATTTTATTTACAGCTAAGTTGACACCTCTACTAAATATGTTGACACAGAGAAACGATGCACGAAACGATAAGTTAGCCGCAACGATAACAAAGCCGGTTGTTTTTAAACACTAAGAACTTTTTTGTAGGCTTTCAGGAATTTCAGCAAATCTGCATCGATTGGTAACTGGCAACCGTGAAGCAGCAACCCTAGTTTTAATTTACTTTGCTTCGCGTTTTCATATCTCACTAAATATCGTTTGACCGCCGGGAAACCATCCTCCCCTTCTCTCGTCCCACGTTGCAGCTGTAGCTGAAGTTCAAAGCTGAAAGTCTTCGTCCGTGGCAGGTACAGTCGAGCATCCACACTTTTGTCATCTTTTGCCACTGAAGTGACTTCCAAGAATGTTTAGAATAGATGAATAAGGTAATTAGATTCAAATTCAAATTCAACTTTGGTGCTGCGTCGGTGGAGGGGATTTGCTTTCATCAACTCCGTAAAGAGATATAAAACCTAACGTTTCGAGCCCACTTTATCAGAGCGAAGGAATGATGGGCTGTGTGCGGTATAACAAGAACAATAGACCTTATTCACGATACCCGCCATCTTTGCACGCGCTCTAGGATCGATGGGATAAAAGCTATGTCACGTGGTATTTCAGAGGGCAAACAAGTGATGAAATTTGCCAGTACGAGTAACCGCGGTCGAGTTTGTTTATTGTATCAAAACGAGACAACGATTTTATAGTTATGCAAAATGTTCATATCGAGTTTTGGCAAGGTCTACGATATTACTATTTGCCATGAGGACATCTACGGTGGCTGCTGCATACAAAAAAGTAACAATGATCACTTCCACCCATATTTTGACATTATCGTCTTAAAGATGAAAAGGTCTTCATTTCCTTTTGTCTAAGATAAACAAACTCAATCGCGATTTCTTCCACTGGCAATGTTTTTCACTCGTTTGCTTCCTGAGAAACCAAAAACCTCGTCCCCAGGGCTGGCGGGTATCGTGAATAAGGTATATCTAGCTGAATGAAAAGCGGTCATTTACTCCATGGGAACTAAGAATAATGATTTTAGCAAGATGAATTATTGTTCTTGATTTAGGCGACTTTTTGCACCGGGGTGGTAATCCTTATGATGGCCTATACTAGACGGGGAGGCTCCCCCCGAAAGGGGTACCTTTTTCAGGCTTCAGGTATGTGAAAGGGTAGGGATTTCACTAGGGGTAGGGAAATCTGTCATTAAGGTCTGCAAAGGAGCCCAAAAGGGCTAACAGATGAATTTTATGGCTTGAAAACGTCGGGAAACGTTCTAAAATGTGATTAATTGTTATTTGAAAGACAGTACATTTACAGCGATTAAAATGGTAAATAAAGGGTAAGGGGTTGGTCCTCGGGGCGGAGCCTCCGCGTATAAACATTTGTTGAGTACCCCCGGGTTTTCGTGTTACACTGGACTGCGAGGTATAGACCTCTTTAGCTTGTATGTTTTGTTTTCCCAAGAGGTCCCAGGGGAACTTTACACTTTGTCTTTTTCTGCTTACATATGCACGTAAACAAGACGAAATTTGAAAGAAACATTTCTATAGAGCACTATCACATGACCTGTATTGCGAAAACAAAACATAGAAGCTAAAAAGGTCTGTCAAAGAGGTTAAGCATCACGTGACGTATAACGTCAAACCCAAATTTGTACCACGTGACCAAGTTTCCCCCTTGCTGTGTACTTGTCGTTTACTGTTCATTATTTCAACACATAAATAAGTAGTTTCAAGCAATTTTTATCCATAATAATTGTTTTGCGCTCTTTTATTTTGCTCATTTTTTATTTTGAGAAATTCTCAACTTGAATCGGACGTTTGCAGTATACGTGAAGCTTGGAAACTCTCTAAATACACAGAAGAAAAAAGCAAGAAGTCTACTAACACTCCATTGCGACAGATTTTTTTAAATACGAGGTATATTTTTAATACGAAAAATTAATTTGTCTCAACTGATATCATGCTATTAACGTCAGGCTCCTGTCATAAAGGAAGATTTTTTTTTTTTCAACTCTTGTAGAAATTTTAGGATACAATGAGGATCCCGAGACACGCCAGGATGCAAAGGAACTTGAACAGGGTTACATTCACTTTCCAAGAAATGAAAGAGTAGAATTTTGCAGGTGTGACGAGTATTACAAGAGTTTGGTTTTTAGATTCAGATGAAGCTTGATATACTCATTGTTCAAAACATTAGCACAACTGCAAACTTCTTGAATTGTAGAACAATTTTATTTTTTTCCTATGCGTTTTGTGTGACTATTAAACGCACGCGCACCGCATCGCACCATGTTTTACAGCACATAACTCAGTATGCTTGTTTATGGCTGAATCAGCAAGCAGGAAAGACGAATCTTAAGAATACAAATATTGGTGATATCAAACACAAATGGGAATATTTTCAATCGCTGAAGCCTTTTTAGACCAGGAGCCCTGAAGACGGATTTATTGAACTTTAGGTGAATTTTTCAGACAGAATTTGTAAGGGTAAGTGTTTTAAAAACTGATCTGCTCCCCAGGAAAGGGAAGGGAAAGGGGGGAGAGAGTCTGAAGACAAACATTTGAGGCCGCTATTCCGCCCTCTTGTAATTATCCTGCCGATCATATGTCAGTAAGGTCGTTATCTGTCAATCAATTTCGCGCGTGAGTAACTCCTGGGAAAATTAACGGGAAATGAGCGGTGTTTTGCTCTAGCCTGAGTATCAGGCGTTTCTGGGAGAAAAGGGGAAAG